GGACTCCTGAGATTCTTCCTGGCATCAGGTTTCTCCCTAACCCCATAATGGCCCTCTCCATCAAGATGTCTCTTTCGTTGCTCTCCCTCTCTGTTCCTCCTCCCCCAACTCGATTATCCTGATCCCTCATGTTCCCATCCTCCATCTCTCAACTAAAGAATGGATAAAGAAAATGTGGTTAATTTACACAATGGAGTATTACTCAGCAGTAATAAACAATGACATCATGAAATTTGCAGGCAAATGGAACTAGAAAAAAACATTTTGCATGAGGAAAACATGGTATATACTCACTTATAGGTGGATAGTAGAGAGATATAAAGAAAAGGATAACTAGGCTACAATCCACAGCCCTAGAGAAACTAGGTAACAAGGAGGACCCTAAGAGGGACACATTGATTGCCCTGGGAAGGGGAAATAGATGAGATCTCCATGAGTAAACCAGGGGTGGAGAGAGGGGGTATAGGGGAGGGGATGAGGCATGACAACTCTTATAAAGGAAAACATTTAATTGAGATGACTTACAGTACAGAGGTTTAGTCCATTATCATCATGGCAGGAAACATGGACATTGTGGAGAAGAAGCTGAAGGTTCTACATCTTGATCCACAGGCAACAAGAAGTGAACTGTGTACCACACTGAGGAAAGCTTGAGCATAGGAAACTTCCTAGCCCACCCCCACAGTGACATACTTCCTCCAACAAAGCCACATCAACTCCAACAAGGCCACACCTCCTAATAGTGCCATTCCCTTTGGGGGCCATTTTCTTTCAAACCACCACAAGAAAGCAGGTGGCTTTTTTAAAACTGAATTTTATTTTTGAGATTAATACATTACAACATTTCTCCCTTTTCTTTCCTCCCTTCAAACCCTCCCAGGTACCCCTCCACAGATGGCTTTACACTTCTTCTTCAAGTACAGTGACTTGTTTCAAGTTGATTCTTTTGGTCAACATGTATCTAAGTGCTCCTTAAATAACAGGCTTTGCTCTAGGATGTGGAGTTCTAGTGGTTGAGAAATTCAGTGTACACCCCTACAGTATTTCTATTCTGAATTGGAATAATATGCAGAAAAGTAATATATACAAATAAAAGTAAAAAGTGAAAACAAAAAGGGTTGTACCTATAAGTTTCATTAATTTTCCTCAGATTTACAAACTTATTAATGATTTTTTGGTGTATATTTTTAAAAGTGTATATGTATATACCACTGTACATGCACATGTTTTAAAAATAAATGGGTCAAACTCTCACTTAGTATAGTTAACTGAATCAAACTTTAACTTCTCTTATATAAGACATGCCTTGTAACAATGCCATTTTATAGTTTTAGTTGGCAGATTCTTTGACTTTGCAGTACATTAAAAAACAGGGTGGAATTTAACAATGAGCCAAAAATATAATGGCATAATAGCTGGGGATTTGGCTATGAGAACAAAAAACAAAGACAGCATCAAGAATTCCATTAGGCTGAAAATAATAAAAATGAATCCTAATAGCATAAAAAGGAATTGAGGATTTTGGAATGCAGATCTAACAGTTCGTGTTAAACTGTGGACTAGACTGCAGGAAGTCACACATGACTAAGGAGTATGTGTGTCATGAGAGGCCACAGAACTGAAACTACAAGCAGTAACAAGATGACAGAAGCATGTTCTGGTGACGTGGGGGAGATTCTGTTATGTTCTTCTTTTTCTTGGTTCCATACCAGGGCCCCGAGAGGAACAGGACTGTTTGAACAAACAGATATTATGAGAGGATTTCTTAAATTGACTTACAGGTATTCCAATAGTGGTTGAATTCACACAGAAGGGGCTATGAACCAGGTCGTGAGTGTAGGTCTCTATTTCCTCCCGAGTTGGCCACTGGCCCATGAAGGCAGAAGAAGCAGAAGCAACGAGCAGGGTTCGGACAGCCGTGAGCATGATGGAAAGAACTTCCCGGAGTCAACTTTAGAGAGTCAGCTCATTTTATTGTTCCAGGGGTAAGGTATGTGAGGGTTCTTAGGGTTAAGGGCAGGAAGGGTTAATTGGTTGAAGGGTTGACACAACACCGAATTATCATTCGGGCAGGAGGAAAAAACAGGATTTCTGTGCTGCGTCGTACAGTGGTTGTAGGGAGCTCTGGGCAGGGTCATCCTCCAACCCGGGTCAGGCATCTGAGCTTAGAGACACTCTCCAAATAAGAGTAGACAGAGAAAAGGAAACCCTACCGGGAAAAGGAGTCCTCCGTTTTGCTCTGAACTCAGAGAGCTATCCGGACCTGGAAGACTACAGCCTTCAATGTAGGGTTCTGCAACACAAGATCCTTAGCAGTGCGGAAAGCATAGAGAATTCCTGGAGAGTCACCGGTCTTCAGTTCATGTTGGAAGGCCAGTGAAACTGGGTTCTAATGTCAGTGAAAAGTGGCAGCAGTGGCAACAGCAGCAGCAGCAGCAGCAGCAGCAGCAGCAGCAGCAGCAACAGTAAAATGCCAAGAGGGTGGATGGGGACCAGCATAATATGAAGGCAACAAGGCAAAACCAAAGCCTTTCTCTCTTGGACTTCTCCTTTTCTGGTCTGCCACTGAAATGCACCATCTGCCTTTAGGATGGGCCTTCAGATTTCAGTTAAACTGATCAAGACAATCCCTCACAGACATGCCTAACTGATAATTTGTTCAGTTGGTTGTAGATCCAACCAAGTTGACAACTAAGATTAACTGTCAGAGTCTCCAAGGTAAGGTTTTTGGCATTTTAATAGAGATGTTTCACAACCAGTCAAGCTTTAGTAGTGAATTTCCAGGCTTTCAGGAGGCAGATGTTTCTGAAGAGGAAACAGGGTAAGAACGAGGAGACTGATTTGCTGCAACTAGACCTATACATGCGAATGTGTCTTGTGACTCTGTTTCACGAACCAGACCTTGATGGATGGGGCCTGCTCTGAGCAGCCATCCAAGTGCCCATGCAGGTGATGGGATAAGAAGGCTCTGCCATGCTCCGGGGGCCTTCTGTCTACAGTGGTGAAGTTGAATTTCTGGTCTGAGTTTCTTCACCAAGAAGGTATCAAGCACATTGTGTGGGGCACTAGAGTTCCTGTCAGGCAAGAGCAGCTGAAGTTGGAGCATTCAATTCTGCTTAGCATCCACTTCTGAAACTTAGGTCGTGTCTTGTGCTACCGAGGACACGTACTTGGTTGTGTGGCCATGTGGGGTGTGAACAACTAAGGACCTGCATGGTGGAGTGTTTGCTTAGAAATAAATCACTTCACAAGACATCCTAATTCCTTAGCTTCTCTCTCTCTCTCTCTCTCTCTCTCTCTCTCTCTCTCTCTCTCTCTCTCTCTTTTTGAAAAATATATAGAGGGAGCTTCTCAGTATGATAAATAGAGCTCAAGAGGTGAACTGTCCCCCACAGCCTGCCCACAGCCTGGGGAAGGAGTTTTGTTTGTGGATGGGCTCTTCCACTTAAAATATATATCCATAGGCTGGTCTTCCTTGAACATTATAAGGATACTATGAATAGAGAGGACTGAACTGCAAATGTCTCCCTTTTTGTCGAAGGTCTTCTAAGGTCACATACCGGGAGCTCCAGCGAGAGGGCTTCTGGAACATGACTATCCCTGAGAGGGAGCGAATGGTGCACATTCCAGAAGAGGCTAAAACAACTCTCACTGGACAGAACCTTGGCTCATGGGGGTAACTGGCTTAGTCAGGAAGTCACATAGGGTTCGGATTCCCATGGCTCAGGCAGAGTGGGCCTGTGTTCTATCACTCTTTAAAAAGTTGATGTGAGGTTCATACAACACCAAGTCAATCATTTTGCAATCTCTATTTGGTGGGATTTAGTGCACTTAGGATATTGTATAGTTATAGGATATTTCCATCAAAGGAAATTTCCTATCAAGCCCTTATTCCTATCTCCCTCCTCACATAATTCCTTCCATAATTCCTGACTGCTCCTAGCATACTTCCTATTGCTTACAGGTTTAAATATTCCTGGTATTTCACGTACGAGGAATCATACCCTGTGTGACCTTTTCACTCAGTAATATAATATTTTCAGGCTGATACGTTAGTATCTCATTCATTTTTTTAAAAAAATCTAACAATATTCCACTATAGATAATTCTATGTTTAGTTTACCTATCTGAATTTAGTTTTGTAAAAAAAAAAAAACTCTCAAGAAATGTGTTGTTATATGAGTATCTTCTAGACAGAATTTAGATATCATAGATCTGCTTGTGTAATATATTAATTTTTCTGCAGTTCAGACTTTTTGTTCAGCTATGTTTGGGAAGAAACTTCTTGGTAAAGTTTAGCAGAACTGTTTGTCAGTACATATTGCTCGGCACAAGCTCTCTGCCCTTTTGTCAAACTTTATAGAGATTGTCTTCCTCTGTAATCCTGGCATTCAAATATTAACATGAGCATTATAGATGGCCAGATATATATGAAATAACTCAGACACAATTAACACCTAGTGTGTCTGGCAGTTCCCTTTCAAATACTCAAATGTTCTTTGTTTCTGTTAAGTAGTGCTTACAAGTATGTGGGAACATCATAGCATCACCCACATATTACAAAGCATGAAAGTGATATGTTCTATCAGCGTTCAACGTTCAACTCATCTGGCAAGTGTTCACTGTTTTTTTTTTTTTTTTTTAACATCAGATGCAAGGTACTGTGCATTCTAGAGCACACATCAAGGTGTAAGATAAGATGGGTGCTTCCAATCAAATTTAGTTCTGGGAGAAAGAAGGAGGAAATGATTTTAGAACCATCTCATAAACACAATGGGAGAGATTTTCAACCAGGGTGTTAAGACAAAATGAAAGCAGTGCCTACCCACTGTGGCCAAGAAAGCGTAAAAATGCACCTCAGGCTTCTCAATGCTGCAGGGAAGGAGTTTTCTCATCATCAGACAGGTGGTAGACTGCTCAGATTTATATATTTTAATAATTATAAGGGTTAGTGATAACTTAGCATTCCTCAGAAAAGGATTAAGCATGGACTGCGGTTACTAAGAGGCAAAAGAAACTCGTTTCTCTTGAAAGAGATATTCGGGTTTCTCCTCAACAAGGTTCTCCAGGTTCTCCTCAGGCTTCACTTCTGTAAAGTCTTCTGGAGTGCTCTCCTCAAGGGATGTAATATTGGCCAAGTCATAAATAAGCTTCAATTTTTTGGTATGGAACATCATAGCCCATCTTCGAAAGGTTTGTCTGATGGTTGAAGAGGTTATTCTATAAGCTATTTCTCTAAAAATTTTACGGGTTTTTTCTGCCAACAACTTGATCACAGGATCTTCGTCCCGAGCCACTCGTTCAATAACTGTAACAGCAGAGGGGCTCTTAGTTCAAGGTCTCTCTGACTCCAAGAGCGTTAAGTCTAAGCTCCCACCTCTCACCAAGTTGCTCTCTCCCATATTCTCCACCTGCAACTCTTCCCTACCCCTCTCTTTACTTGACTAATGAGATCTACTAGAGAAAAACAAAAATGGTTACCAAATTTATGGCATACTTATGTGCCAAGCATTCAGCTCAGTATCATAAGAAGAGATTCATGTGTTGGTGATAGTCATGTAAAACACTGGAATAAGTCCAAGTGCTTATCAATAGAAAACTGATTTAAATTAAAGTTATTATAAAATAAAATAGCACATGTATTTTAATATAATGAGTCAATGCATATTCATTGTCACGAAAAAAAAAGCTTATGATAAACAGCCTTGAGGCCATTCCTCTGCCTCAACCTTCCAAGTGCTGGGACTACAGGGTGAGCCACAGTATTTTCTTTTATTTCTTTGGATAAAAAAGCAAGAATGAAAAAGGATGTTTTAGAAAAGAGAAGGAGAGAAAGACAAGAAGAAAGAGAGAAGAGAAAGATCTTAAGGGTTAAGGGGGAAGTATAGTGCTTGACATGCAGTAGCTAGTCAGCAGTGTTGAATGAATGAATGAAAGTGACTGACTGACTGAAGGAGAGATAATGATGCACCAAGTGGGCACAACTCTCCACAGCCCTGGTGGGAGACACTGACAAGGGAGGCAACTGCATGAATACAGTGTGGAAGTCCATGGGAAGTCCTTGAACTTCCAGCCATGTTGTTGTGAAGCTGAAATTTCTCTGGACAATAGTAGACTTTATAAAGACAGACAGACAGGAAGGAAGGAAGGAAGGAAGGAAGGAAAGAAGGAAGGAAGGAAGGAAGGAAGGAAGGAAGGAAGGGAAAGAGGAGCAGACAGCTATCCTAGCTATTTTCTTTTTAAAAAAACTTTTAGATATATTTATTGTATTTTATATCTATGAATTGTTTGCCTGAGTGTATGTATGTACAGCACATGTATGCTTGGTGGTGGCAGAAGTTAGACTAGGGTGTCTGTCGGATTCCCTGGAAATGGTGTTGTGGATGGCTGTGGGACACCATGTGGGTGCTGCAAGAACAAGTGCTTGCAACTGCTGAGCCAGCTCTCCCTCCCTGCCCCCAAGCTATTTTCTAATAAGACAGTAGAGAGATGCTAAGATAGAGTGATGCCCTGTACCCGAGCCCTTTGGAGGAATAACAGCATTACTCTTCTTTAATTCCTCCCCCTCTGAATGTAATGTATTTTAATATTCACTAAAATGTAAAATCTATGAGGAATGAGCCAGCTTTATTTATTAGGGTGACCCAACAAGTACATGGTGCTGTCTGTCACACAGGACATGCTGGAAAAAAATATTTGCAGGATATGTAAGTGAATGACTCCTGAATTTCCAGTAATTTCTTAAGGCTCCGGCATGATCTTTAGATTTCAGACAATAAATGGGATAAATTTGGGGAATGAAACAGGGACAGTAATAGAGAATAGGGAGAGTGAAAAAAACAAATGCCCCTTAACCTAGTCCCTCTCCTGATTTTCCTATCCATAAACCCACCACCACCCAATTTCCATCCTCTAAACTATTAGAACTCTCATTCAGCTAGAATCAAAATAGTGAATTTATTTGAATCTATACACAAAGACCTCAATCTTACCCTCAATCATGACATCAATTTCTTCTTTGAGAAGTAAATGTGCTCCAGATTTCCCCAAGTACCCTGTGTATAAGGTATAAGCAAAGTCAGGCCAAAATAAATGATTAAATACATTTCTGTTGTTATCTAGCTAGATCATAGATTCTCCTTAAACTATCTTTTAGTGGTTTCAAATAGTTATTATTTAATGAAAAATTAAAATGTGTATGAAGAATGACCACAAAGGGAATATGCCTTAGCTACCATGTAGGTTCATATCCCAGAAGACTTTCACAAGCTCTTTGCAATTTCCTTCTCCATATTTCAGAATGTATTTTTGGGCTCTACTATCTTCATTCAACATAGTTTTATGAGATGTGCCCATGTTCCTTCCTATAGAAACAGCTCATGTACTGCCATTTTTACATGCAGAGTGGAGATTCCTTGAAACACAGCCTGGCTATCAACTCATTTTGTTACATATCCCTTGTTTATTGCTCTAGTTGGTGGTGGGACCTGAGGGAATGGAGCCATGGACTAAAGTCTCATGTAATAGTCAACTTTGTTCAAAGTATCACACAAGTTAAGAAGAGTCACAGGAGTAAAGAGTAACATAAAACAAATTAAGAAGAGTCACATGAGTGAAGTGTACAATTACAAGGTCAAACCACAAGTGGCAGGCCAGCTGTACAAGGCAGGCAAGCCTAAAGTGGCAAAATGTGTATCTCCATAGAGGCGTATAAACAAATATAAATATTGTTGTTGTAATGCATAATCTGAAGTAATTTCCTCCTATCCACTACATGTTGGAGGGGCACAAAAGCATAAACTAACAATAATTTCATGCTTTTGAAGAAGCTGAGGTCATAAAATTCTTGGTTTCTTGGAGTTTTCTTACAAAGTAAGAAAGAGTACACCAATATATACAATATACAAAGTAGTAAGAGTACACCAATATATCAATTGATATATGTATAGGTTTTAAAAAAAAGCATCGGGACTTTTAATCTTATTCTTTCTTTCTTAAAATAGAATTTATACTCCACTCATTGTTAACATTTCATTTCCTTCAGTAATGTTCACAAGTAGTCTTCATGTGTGCAGCGTATGGACTTCAAAGGTTTTTTTGTCCCTCCTTGCTCTCTCAGTCCACCCTCCCTTCTTTTCTTCCCATTTGTTCTCTCTCGTCTTTACTTCTTCTTTTCCAGCTCTCTCCTCCTACCCCCACCTCCTTTCTTCCCTCTCTCCTTCCCTCCCACTTCTTCCTTAATAATTATGGTAGTTTGAATGTATTCTCATAGAAAGTGGCACTCTTAGGAGGTGTGGCCTTGTTGGAGGAAGTGTGTCAAGATGGGAGCAGGCTTTGAGTTTGGTCTTTTGCTCCAGCTTCACTCAGTGTGACAGGCAGATCACTTTCTATTGCCTTCTGATTAAGATGTATTCAATACCATGTCTGCCTGCATGCATGCCATGATTATACTAGACTGAACCTCTTAAGTGTAAGGCAGCAATCAATCAAATGTTTTCCTTTATAAGAGTTCCTGTGATCGTGGTATCTCTTCACAGCAATAAAAACCCTAAGACAATAATTTTCTTTCCTTATTTCTTTTTTACCCATTATAAATGGTATCTTTTGTTTTTGTATATTTCCACCATTGATCTATAAGACTTGTGAGATTTAAACTACATTTTAAATTAAAAAAAATATAGGAACAACTGTGTGTGATATATATATTCTGAAGCATCACAGTAAGATGGACACTGATCTCTCTTGTGTGACCTTTGCTCTTGTGGAGGATTGGCTTATCACTACTAACAGTGCAGATTTTCTCATTTGTGGGTTACAGTTGTTTTCCTTTTCTGTGATGGTTATGTATCTTTCCTCACACTTGTCCCCTATGCTGTAAAATCTTACTTTCATGGTCTTTACTTCTTATATCAAATACATTCTGTGTATTTTTAGGCACATTCAATCTTTATTTTAAAGCTTTAGGTTCATAGAATTATTTATTGTGAGTCTCATCTGTTTGGTAAAAATACATTTTCTATGTTTTTTTCTCATCTATTCTCTGTTTTTACCTTGAAGTACAGAAAAAATGATGCTACCCTTTTATGAGAAAGTTATTTATTGGGGATTCCATAGTTGGGTGTTATAAACAGAGATGGGAAGCTCAAGGAGATTATTCAGGAGATTGTATTGATTTGAAATAAAGTTATCACAGAACTCTCTGTGTCTATCTCTGCCTGTCTCCTCTCCCCTCTTTTCTCTCTCCTTTCTCCTCTCCTCTCCTCTCCTCCTCCTCTCCTCTCCTCTCCTCCTCCTCTCCTCTCCTCTCCTCTCCTCTCCTCTCCTCTCCTCTCCTCTCCTCTCCTCTCCCTTTCCTCTCCTCTCCTCTCCTCTCCTCTCCCTTTCCTCTCCCTCTCCTCTCCCTGTCCTCTCCTCTCCTCTCCTCTCCTCTCCTCTCCTCTCCTCTCCTCTCCCTTTCCTCTCCTCTCCTCCCTCTCCTCCTCCTCTCCTCCTCCTCTCCCTCTCCTCTCCTCTCCTCTCCTCCCTCTCCTCCTCCTCTCCTCCTCCTCTCCCTCTCCTCCTCCTCTCCCTCTCCTCTCCTCTCCCTCTCCTCTCTCCTCCTCCTCTCCTCCCTCTCCTCCTCCTCTCCTCTCCTCCCTCTCCTCTCCTCTCCCTCTCCTCTCCTCTCCCTCTCCTTCTCCCTCTCCTCCTCCTCTCTCCTCCCTCTCCTCCTCCTCTCCCTCTCCTCTCCTCTCCCTCTTCTCTCCTCTCCCTCTCCTCCTCCCCTCTCCTCCCTCTCCTCCTCCCCTCCCCTCCCCTCTCCCTCTCCCTCTCCTCCCTCTCCTCTCCTCTCCTCTCCTGCCCTCCCCTCCCCTCCCCTCCCCTCTCTCTCCTCTCTCTCTCTCTCTCTCTCTCTCTCTCTCTCTCTCTCTCTCTCTCTCTCCTCTGTGAACACAGATCAGAAGCTTAATGCTCCTCATGGTATAGTTGGTTACGTATTTTGACTGTCCAAATTCTCTACAGTGTGATATGACCATGAGTTTTCTCATTCCTTTCTGTTCTTGATAGTCTAGTCTAGGGTCCCAAATAGAACAAGGGGAGAACTGTCACCAAATTGGAATTCTAGACTCTCACAGTTAGAGTGTCACAAGGAAAAGCATCACTGCCATTGGTCAGATTTGTCCAAGGTGAAAACTTTAGCTGTCATCGCCTCTGAGTGTCTTTCTGGGCTTCTCCCATACACATTTTATTTCTAAACTTTACTGGATCAGATATCTCTCTTATTTGTTGTAGTTTGTTGTTACAGGTGTTCAAGTTGTGTTGAACATGAAGTTCATGTGAAGTTTTAAATCACTCTTGTTATTTAGATAGTGATTTTAGGCAGTAGAGGGGAATGATATTACATTCTAAAATTTTATTATCCATCTTGCTGAACACATTTTATGTAATAATTGGTCAGACAGATATACCTACTTTGTGTTGTAAAATAGAACTTTATTTCAATCACACATATTAACCATGTTCATCATATTTATCACCATGACAGGTATTGTCAATCATAAAACTTGTAAATATTTTAACGAATAATTTGACTTGAGCCCTATTTTATACATCCAAAGACAAATTAAGAAAAATTAAATTTATTTACCTATTAATATAGTGGCTCCTTTCTTCAGAAATGTTCGGGAGCTCCACAGGAACCCTAAGGTACCAGATATTAAATCCGTAATGTAACTCTCATAAGAAGAAAGCTGGGAATAAAACAGTAAAATTCCTCTCTTAATTGTTGACAAAGCATATTTGCTTCCTCTAGAGAAGAGTCAAAATCAAAGTAAGAGACCTTAATTACTTAGTTGCTAGTATGAAATTAAGACCAGTTTAAAACTTGGAGATTTGTCTGTGTGAGCTACACTCCTCTGGCTGCTGGCAAGGACTATTCTATCATATCATTCCTGAAACCAGGATTGTTCTTCCAATCTGTAATTAGCATCCTCTCATCCCCACTTATTTACTCTTATTCATACTGGGTTTCAAAAGACAAGCTCGTGAGGTTATGGCAAAATAGTTTTCCTTTGGTGATGTGGAGTGTTCTACTCAAGTTTGTATCTACCCGCAGGTCAAAATAAGAGGAAGAAAATAGAGTGATCAGTGTTGAGAGTGTGAAAAATTCTCTTTCTTTCCTCTAAAGCTCTTACTGTAAATATAAATGTTATCTTTTCTTCACATTCTTTCTACAAGTTCCTCCTTTTCATCAAGTCATCTGTCACCACTTGTGTAATCTTTAAGTTGTGCTTATGATAGTTAAAGCAGAGGGCTACTTACAAGGTTGTTGCAGATGCTGAGAACCACTGACTCAAAACAGTAATTTTCCTCTTTGAGCAGATGTGATATTGACCACTTTAGTTGTGAGAAGCAGATAGTTAATGTATATCTGCAAGCCTGGGAGAGAGAAAAGATCAGTCAGGCTTGATTTGCTGTTACATAAAACACTCTGTTGGGTTTAATTGAGAGAAATAAGATTATGTAAGAAATTTAAGAAAAAAGGCTCTTACATTCACAAGTCTTATTTCGTTAGACTCCAAAAACAGGAGCAGGGGCACAAGACTTCTTATGATTACATGGTTTAGCATCCGTTTGTAATGACTCATATCCAGAAGTAATTCACCAAAGTGTCGAATGGCCATGCATTGAATGTCACTATTAACCTGGACCATGTACACAAGTAAAAATTAAGATTTCAGTTGAGCATATTGATGTTACTTTCTTTAGTGGTAGTATATATGTATGGTATGTATACATACATATATAACTATCATTTTTAGTAAAGATTGGGCTTGTTAGAGCTTCTTTTTGTGACAAGATTTGACTAACCATTATTCCCAATAGCCAAGATATAAGTGCCCATTAATAGATGAATGAACACACAAATAATTTGAGACATAATAAAAAAAAAGATTATCACTGTGACAGTATGGCTAAATCAGGAGGACATTACACTGAGTGGACTCAGCCAGTTATAAAAAGGAATGTTTCCTGATCTCACTTACTTTGCCTTCAACTTAAACTTATAGGAACAGATGCTCAGGTGTTGTAGGATATTTTGATCACACTCTGAAATTCCCCAGACTGATGATAAAGTTTACTTTGGATCAGAGGGTAGAGCTAGCTACTAGCTGATCAAATTAGCCATAGAGGTTTTGGAGGACTGAGGACATATGCAGAGACACTGGAAGTAGTAGTGAGGGGTTTAGAAAGATTCTTGGCCCTTTTTGAATCAAGGAAGGAGAAAGAGAGGAGGTCACTAGTTGTTTCTCCTCTGCTTCTCTGATCATTCAGATATCTGACTCTTGAGTTTTTATTGATAAAGAATAATTAGATAAATGCTTCATTTGACATCCAACATGGGGCATATGCAGCTCTGGTACAACTGGCTTCTCCTCCCTCCCCTCAGGTCCTCTATGCAAGTCTGGGGTTTTCCCATTGCAGCCTTTCTATGGCAGCTTCCAGCTGCTGCCCCACCCCGGCCCTAAACACCATAGGTGTCTGGGCCCCAAATGCCACAGGAGTTAGCGCCTACCATCAGCCAGCTCTGTCATTCAGGTGGCCCCATGCCCTCACTTCCCACCACATTCTTCCACAGATCCCCCTAGGCTGGCTTTTCAGGCAGCTGGCTCCTTCTCCCCATGGGTTGAGGGCTTCCCCTCAACTCCCTCCTTGGGCCATTGCCATATCAGGTGGACTGCCTTAATACTCACTCAGGCTTTTACTGCTACTGCCACAGCCACACACTCTCAGCTCCTAGGTTCAGGGGAGCAGCTGCAGCTGCCCTTGGCCAGGTTGTGCATTCTCTGCCCAGCCATGTGGTGCATCAGCAGCCAGCCTTACACTTCACTGTCATTATCAGCACATGTGGTGAGACACCTGGGAATTCTTAAAAGGGGAATTAATCTAAAAAAAAGGAAGCTTTTTTGCCCACATTAAGAATGGGGAACACTATTAAAATGCAGTGAATTAGGTCTCTGTATGGGTCCACAATGGAAGGTTTGAAAATGAAAAAAATTAGATGAAGGGATAATCAACTTAGTTGGGATTGACACACTGTTGATTGTAATAATTATCAATTTTGTAATTCATGTTCTATACTTTAAAATGTGGTTTGACATTGGTGCCAATATGAAAAATTGACTGATAAGATACATTCCTTAGAAAGACCTGCTAATGAAACTAAGAAAAATATTCACACATACACACAGAGGAGTTTAGGGCAGAACTTACTTCACCATTGTATAATGAAACTGAAGATGAGTGGCTCAAGGTTATTTAGAAAACCAACCTTAATTTGTCCAGCTACCATTTAAGAACAACCATCAGATGATAGGTATCTCCAAGACTATTAAGAAGTTACCTGGGACACTGCAGAAATGTTAGATTTGAAGAGATTTAAGGAAGCAGTAGTTGCATATGTATGTATTCACCTTTTGTGAAACAGATGTTAAATTCATAGGCAACTCAAAACAGAATTATTCTACAAGATTGGAAATACTGAGCTATAGCAATATTGGAAGCTGGTCCTCAGTTACAATGGAAAACATGGCGGGGAGAGGAAGCAAGGGTTATAGAATAATGAAGTAGGGATAGAGGTATTGAAATTTCCCAAGATTAGCTCCTCAGTGAAGGTCAGTATGCTGATTTGTAAAGACAGATTACATTTGCTGACCACACCTTGACTTTATATGATATAGCAGCTTTGACTGCTTGGGACAGGGTTGAAGAATCAGGAAAGAGGACTGAGTCATTTACTAAAATTATACAAGTCCTAAAAGAAGTCTTCACTGCTTTTTTTTTTTAACACAGATTGACTTCAGCTGTAAACAGAATGTTATCAGATCCAGAAGTTTGACAAATATTAGCTAAATCTTTGACTTTTGAAATACTAATTCAGAATGCAAAATTGTGACTAGACCTTTACAAGCAAGATCTGCATCAATAGATAAATGGATTAGAAATACAGCTGATATTGGATCTCATAGTTATAATGATAGTAGGATAGGAGAAGTGATTTCTTTTTTTTTTTTTTTTTGGTTTTTCGAGACAGGGTAGGAGAAGTGATTTCTAAACATTTTAAGAAAAATCAAAAGGCAAGAAATTTTAATTGTGGTAAAAGAGGCCATCTGAAAAGGGATTATAGGCAAGGTGGTCCTAGAAACAATATTTTTTCTAGAGATGACCCAAACATAAGGCCCCAGACTTCTAGAATATGTAGAAGGTGTGGCAAAGGCCAGCATTAGACTAATGAATGCAGATCAACATAGGACAGGCAAGGTAACCCTGGACGTGCCTTAAGGGACCTCTCACAGGCCCCCATGTCAAATTTGGTTCAATCATTCCCTGTTAACATTAGAGAAATTCCTCCACAGAGCAATTAAAAGACTTAATGCCTGTTTTAAAAATACACTGCTCTGGATGACAGAACAGCATCAGTAGATAAAACCAAATTTTCAGGAGAGACAATAAAACAAGTATTTTGGCAAACATCTATAAATGATCAAAGATCAAAGCTAAAAATGCAAATAAGTGGTGTTATGATGGAAGGTTACTAGATACAGACATGGATATAACAACAATTTCACCAAAATCTTGGCATTCAGATTGGCCTCATCAGGAGGTAAATATTCAGCTTTTAGGGATTGGAACTTTATCTCATGTAAAACAAAGTGTATAGAGCCAGAAGAACAAATAGGAAAATTAAACCATATGTGGCTAACATAGCAATGAATTTATGGGGATGTGATTTATTACAACAATGGAAAACCCAGATTAACATTCCTTCAATCTTAGAAACAAACCATAAACTAACATATGCTTCTGAGAAAGATATTTAAAAAAGTGTTATAAAGAACAGTCACTGACCATTAAGGTATAACATAAGCAGGGCACAATAGCTGATGATCTTTCAAAGGTACCAACAGCCCTACCTTTAATATGGTTAAATGACAGATCTGTCTGAGTGGAACTATGGCCTTTGACATCAGAAAAATTACAGGTCTTAGAATAGCTGATACAGGAACAGCCAAATGCGCAATATATTGAAGTCCTTGGAATTCTCTTGTATTTGTCATTAAAAAGAAATCTGGGAAATGGAAATGGTAACAGATCTAAAAGTTATTATTAAAGTAATCCTGCCAATGGGCTCTTTACATCCTGTAATTCCCTTGCCTTTTTTAGATTGCCTAAAGGATGGTTTATTATAGTGATTGGTTTAAAAGACTGCCTTTTTACTACACATTTACAAGAATGGGGTTGAGAAAAATCTACCTTCACAGTGCCTACTTATAAAAATTTCCAGCCTGTTAAAGATATCAGTGGAAAATTCTTCCACAAGGGATGTTAAACAGCCTCATCTTGTGTCAATATTTTGTACAAGAGCTGTTGGAAATAATTTGCAAACAGTTTCCTCAATCTACATGCATTATATCTTACCAGCTGATTCAGATTTAGATACTCTAGAAAAAAATGTTTGAAGAGGTAAAAAAAATTTTGCCTTTTGGGGGGATTACAAATTGCTCTTGAAAAAAATACAAAAAGGAGATTCTATTAATTACCAAGGATATAAGATAGGTTTACAAAACATTCAACCACAGACAGTACAAATCAAGAGAGATCAATTACAAATTTCTAACGATTTTAAAAAATTGTTGGGAGATATTAACTGGCTGCAGCCCACAATTGGATTGACAATTCAACAACTAAGTAATTTATTTCAAACCTTACAAGGTGATAAGGACTTGAATCCTGCAAGAAAATCACCAGCTGAGGCTAAAAGAGGACTGGCTTCGGTAAAAGAGAAATTACAGGATACACATGTGTAGATGTAACCGACCGTCTTATTAAATAAGAAACACAGAACCAATGCAAAGAAGAAAGCCAAGAGATCAGAGCTAAGAGCCTTACCCACCTGCTGCAGCGATCCTCTTCAGCCAAGAGACCTCTCCAAAAGAGAGCTACTTCCTGTCTGCTTGTCTTTATATAGACTTTCTGTTCTGCCTTCTCATTGGTTGTAAACCCAACCACGTGACTGCCTCGTCACTGCCTGTCTGTATAGACCTCCAGACACACATTTGGAGTGTGTCTCTCCAATGCTGGCTGTATCCTTGAACACACAGAGATCTACCTAGCTCTGCCTACCAAGTGCTGGGATTAAAGGCGTGCGCCACGAACGCCCAGCTCTGCTATGGCTTGCTATTAGCTCTGAACCCCAGGCAATTTTATTTATTAACATACAAATAAAATCACATTTCAGTACAAATAAAATATCACCATACACATGTGGATTGCTTGGATCCAGAGCTTGATTGTATCCTACTCATACTACCTTCTATGAATTTTCCTGAGGCTATGGTTCTGCAGGACTGGTACCTTCACATGCTCCAGCAGGTCATAGACTCAGTAGAGGTTGGGATAGGCCAACTCAAATCCCTGAATGTGGGCCTAGGTGGTAGCTGGTCATTCCAGGCCACTGAGGTCACTCCCCTCAGGTGAGGGACAGAGCCAGCTCTTTTTTTTTAAATGCCAAGACCATGCTATTTCAGCTGTGTAGTGTAACTTGAAATAAAGGATAGTGATAACATCAATAGCTTTTTTTTTTTTAATGGTTCAGGACCATTTTGGCTATTCTTGGTTGTTTGTGTTTCTATGTGTAATTTAAGATGATTTTTAAAAAATTTCTATGAACAATTATGTTGGAATTTTGTCAGAATGTCGAGGATTAAGAATAATGTTGAGCCGGGCAGTGGTGGCACACACCTTTAATCCCAGCACTCAGAGCCAGGCGGATCTCTGTGATTTCAAGGCCAGCCTAGTCTATAGAGTGAGATCCAGGAGAGGCACAAAGCTACACAGAGAAACCCTGTCTCAAACAAACAAACAAACAAACAAAAGAATAATGTTGACAAATGTTATTGTGGATGTGAGGAAAGGGGAGTACTTATTTTCTGCTGGTGGTTCCTCTATGGTAAGGTGTGAAGGTTCCCCCCCCCCCCCCGCAAAAAAAAAAAAAAAAAAAAACCCTAAAACTAGTAGATCTACCACATGACCTACGTATATCACTCCTGGACATATCCCCAGAGGACTCTATATTCCTACTATGGAGTTACTTGCTTGTCTATGTTTATTGCTAATCTAGTTACAATAGCCAGGAAATGGAAACAGCCTAGATGTCCATCAACTGGTGAATGGATAAAGAAATTGTAGTATATTTACACAATGGACTGTTATTTAGCTATTAAGAGAAACAAATTATGACATTCACAGATAAATGGATAGAACTGAAAAATAGTGAGCCGAGAGAGATAAATATCACATATCTTCTCTCATTTGTAGACATTAGCTTTGAAGTATTAGCTATGAATGTTTCATTTGGAATACTCATAGTCAGGAAATTAGTAAAGGCCGTAGAGGAAGGACTTTAAAGTGGGGGATAGAGAGCAGTAGTAAAAATGCTTAAAGTGGATTAGGGAACAGGAAGGGTTAAATTTGTGTGAGATATGGGAGAGCAGGGTAGAGGAAGAAATATGGGGAATGTTATTTAACACTGAAGGTCTTTCAAAAAAGTAATATAAAATCTACTGCTGCAAAAACTTTCTAATATATATACATATTATATAAGCACATGTATCTTTATATATGCATACTAAAATAGTTAAAATAGAGTTTCCCTATAATGGGAAGACAATGTTTCTACTAGGTAACACAAGCTAAGAAATGAAAAGCTCAATGGCAGGATCTTGGCTAATGAGGTCCCATGGAACCACAGACATTTCAGGCTGTTGCCAGTGCTCTAGGTTACCACCCAGAACATAATGGTTAAGATTCTGTTGCTGAAGACGGCATGTGCTTGAGTCACAGAGCGTGGAGAATTTAAGCTGGTGCCGACTTGGAAGCTCCATCCCTACTGGGTAGTTTTTATAGTTCCAGAAGAGAAAGGCTGTGAACTTGTGAGCTATAATAACATCTCCTCTGGCGAGACATGCCACTGGTGCAATAGTGGCATGCTCATCATAGAATTAACCAAATACTCTAATTGGATTTAAGTCCAGATCCACAAGAAGAAACTTATACCAGTGCCATTATCAGGCCAAGAACCTGTGGCCAGACAGGTCATAGACCCTAAGGGAACACCTAATACTATTCTGCTGCTAAATAGATATAGTATGAAAATGCTTTCTAGTTACTAAGATTCTTTAGAGTTTAGTTCCTGGATCTGACCTTAAGACTTTCTCCAATTAACCTGTAAATTTCAACCAAGATTCTTTGTTTTGCAAAAAAAAAAAAGCTTGCTTCTATTATTTTAAATATTATTATTTAATGTAATTGTCTTTTCTATTTACCTTTTTAATTAATAAAATCTGTTTAAGCTATTGAAGAGCAACTCTAAAACGAGTTGAGGCTCAGAGTTGAGGTTCTGTCATGCATTCAGTTTTGATGCTTATTTTCTTAGCTTTTTGAATTGTGTTTGTTATCAGTAACTTCTGGAGATAGTAATTGGAGTCACTTAGCAGGAGTCTGGTTCATAGAAGGCTTCCCTAAGTTGTTCTTTTCTCTGTCACATCTTCTGTGTTTATAGTATGATTCTTTTAGTATGGCAGCACTAACTGGACTAGTGGGGTATGAGACTAAGTCAAGAAGCTGGGAAGGGGACCTGTTGCGAGGACATAAATAGGGAAAGTTGGATGGGGAGGTATATTTTGTTATATTTCATTATATACATCAGTGGTTTCCAACCTGTGGATTGCAACCCCATTGGGGGGTAGCATGTCAGATATCCTGCATATCAGATATTTACATTAAGGTTCATAACAGTAGCAAAATTATAATTATGAAGTAGCAACAAAATAATTTTATGGTTGGGGCATCACCACAACATGAGGAACTGTATTAAAGAGTCGAAGCATTAGGAAGTTTGAGAATCACTGGTATGCATGAATGAAACCTCAAGAATAAAGAAACATTAAAATAGGGCTGGACAGATGGTTCAGCAATTAAGAACACTGGCTGCTCTTCGAGTTCAATTCCCAGCAACCACATGGTGGCTCACAACCATCTGTAATGAGATCTGGTGCCCTCTTCTGGCACGCAGGTGTATGTGCATACATAACAAATCTTAAAAAAGAATTCTATATGAAAAAGAAACAAAACAAAACAAAATCCTCTATTTTGTTAATAACAAACATTTATTGGAGGTACTGCACATGCCAACTTTGCAATCATGCAGCAAAAATGATGCATTTTAATGGAGTGCAATAATATGGAACAGGAAAATATTTTCAAGGCAAAATTTAAGTGAAAGAATTTGTAAGTCCCTACTCTTTGACAAGTCAGTTCCCAACTGAAAAATTTTTATTTATTTTTTATTCTTTGACATTTTCATGTATGTGTATGATGAATTTCAATCATTTTTTTGCCTCTTGTCATTTTCACATCTCTCCTCTTTCTGACAAAGCCCTTCTTTTCCCTCAATAATTCTTCTACTTTCACATCTCATTCATGGAGTGGCCCCTAAGTTTAAGTAAGATTGCTTGCATGAGCATGGGTAGGAGGTTCCTTACTGAGGCATGGGCAATTGATCAATGGCTCCACCACTGGAGAAAGTTACATCCTTTCCTCTAGACACCACTAATGGGCATTAGTCCCTTAGGGAAGAACAGGGCCTCATGAGCCCTTCCTCCTTCCATGATGATGTGTTGACAATCTCAGTCTTGTGCAGGTCTTTTGTGGATCTCCACAGCTTCAGTAAGTTCATGGGCACAGTGGTTATGCCAAGTCCAGAAGACATCATTTTTCAACACTGTGCTCCATTTTCTGGCCCTTGCTGTGTTCTTTCCACCACCTCCTATGTGACGTTCTCTAAGCCTTGGAGGGGTGAACATATAAACTCTTAACCATATAATAAACCTACTTCTGTATCTGTTTTACTGCTGAGGAAACTGATGTACCAAGACTCTGAAGAAATCTCTATATCTCACCATGATATCAAAGGTAGAAGGGGGATTTACACCCACCCAGTCCAGGTTCAGTGTTAATCAGGGTAATCACTAAGCTGAAATTTATCCGGGGACAGATAGCTAATCTTATTCTAGGATATAAGATCATCCTGCCATCTGGGGATTAACTGAACCACAAAAGCTAATGGTCTTAGACATCTAAATTGCATAATGTCACTCACGTGATCCATAAGAGGACAGTAGCTGGAAGCAATCCTGGTACACACCGTGGAGTAGATCTCCTTGTCCAGTTTGCTCAAAATGTTTCGGAGGGTGAGCATGGCCCGGATGACCACAGTGTACTCTTTGGAAAGAAAAGCATCCAAGACTGGGAGTAACAGGTTGCAGACGTTTTCTAACTATGTATAAAAGGAGGAAAACAGTAGAACTTTGGTACTAAGAGGCTTGGGCTGATAATTGGTATGTACACTTCTGAGTTTAGCTGGCCAACTCACAAGTCTTTATAACTGTTAGAGGATTTTGTAAACTAAATGCTTTCAAAAGTCATTGTTAAAAATTAATCACACAAATTTATAATTGAGTAAAATCAAAAGTAGTATTAAAAAGTGATCAATTCTAAAATCTTTTGCTAGTATGTATTCTGTTTTCTACATTCTTAAGGCTATTTATGAACTGTGTATGGATGATTGGAAAAGTAAATGAAGTTATATTATGCATTTCTGCCCAATTCCATGTTTAATAACAAGCATTTGATATCTTGAAATTAGCCATAGTAAGAATATTCATATCAGAAAATTTTGATCTTGTTTTTCAGAGATCTGGTATTAAATATTTACCAACAATATCTGGTAGTATGGTCTCTAAACATGAGAATGAAATGTTTAAACAGAGGAACTGAAGAGCCTCAGAGACAAATCAGAGTAAAAGAGAATGGAATTGTAAGGAAAAGAGAAATGGGAGACACCAAAAAAGTAAAAGAGTGACTTTAAGGATATATATACATACACACACACAGTACCAAATCAGTGCCTAAATGTTTTTCTAGGAAGTTAGGTCTGTATTGTTTCTCTATTATTGTCCTTCTTACTTTGGCATAAAATCTCCCTGTTATAAACAACATGGAAAAGAATTTTGGACAAAGCAGCAAATAATGTTCTTCTTACTAAAGAGTAGAAATAAACACTCTTATTGACTTGTATTTTTTTAAAGCTGATGGACCACAGCTTATGAAATTCTAAATGCAAAGATGGGTGTCCACCAACAGGCTTGAAGGCTGTGATCAAATAGATAAACAAAGATTTATTATTAGATCCATTATTGAATTAACAATGATTTGTGGTGCATCGACAGTTTCAGGATTGTGCAAGATACTTTGAAATTTGGAATTACAAGACATGGGGGCCTGATTAAATTTATTTGAACTGAAAAGCTATTCACATGTGCTAGTGGGAAATGATTTAAGATCATGACTCTCACTGTTACCAAAAGTCCTAAATAGACAGATCCGTGGACCACAACCCAGAATTTCTGGTTCTGTAGGCTTGAGGTGGGCACAACAATTTGCATTTGTAACAGTTTTTCAGGGGACTTTGATTCTGGTGGCTCAAGGACCATACTTTGAGCCTCACTGTTATAGAATAAGTGTTCCTAGATGGGGCTGCCCTCAGAGGAAGGAGGCTGCTAGAGTTTAGAATATTCAATAAAGTCTGACTTGAAGTCATCATCAAAAAGGGCAAAGAGTGAAATCATGTATAAGTGAGGGGAACGTATTATAAGTGGATGGAAGACATCTGGTGGGTGCCCCAAGGAAGAAGTCAACGAGTACAGAAATACAGAGAGGGAATGGACAGATGTTTATGACTTAAACTATAAGGAGAGTATTTACTCTGAGCAATGATGATAAATAAATTCTGAGCACAAGACATGATTTTGTGGAAAAATTATGAATAAAAGGATAAAAACCACTTAGTTGGTTTATATTCTCTCTATTCTATTGAGTTTCAGACTTCGATAGTTTTAGCTGTACAGAAACTGAGAAAGCACCAACATTTTATTACAAGACATTGAACAGTATCAAAACATTCAGTCATGACACACAAAGGTCATACTTCACACATACACATACTTCACTGAAAACGGGTGCCATGCTCGCAATTTTCTGAAGGCTCATTTTGCTAACTGAAGGATTGGGATCATTAATCCAGTTTCTGAAGAGAACCAAAAATTCCTTCGGTAATGATTCCTTGAAGAAGTTGTTCAGAAGCTTTAATAAAAAAAATGCACTTACTAAATTAATGAGTGGAGTCAGGACTCCTCCTCGCCACCTCCCCTTTGACTTCATATATCATTTACTTTCTTAAATTTTTATGAGAAAGGTACTTAGAGAGGGAGATGAAATGCTGGAATTTTGATTTAAGTTTATTCAAGGTATGGGAATGAAAAGTCAGTTGGTCACAATCTACTATCAAAACTCACTTCAGCAAAGAATATTATTGTGACGATACTGTCTTCTGACCTTCTAGGGCCTTCTACTGCAACCTTGTAGACATAATGCAGGGTCTCTGGAAACTGTGGAAAGTTACATTCACTGAGAGTTCTGTAAAGGAGCAGAAGACACCAAATTAGCAAAGAAGGGAAATATCCTTCATTGACAAAGAGTCAGTTCTTATCTATGTACTATTGACTACCCAGATTAGAAAGGAAGTTGTTCTAAAAGATTCCCTAGTCTAAGGTAAACTGCAGCATCACTTCACAGTCTAGATAGACCCTGGGGAATTATACAAGCCTGAATCTCTACAGCAATTCTTTCTTTGTCACACCTCCTTTTCTTTTTTCCCTTATTTTTTCCACATTAAGAGTAGCCTTATTTTGGCATTAGCCACCATCAGTCCTTGACTAAAAAGAGAGGAAGTGTATACCTAAACAACAATCCAAGGTAACCACACAGGCTATGGGTCAGCTTTGTGGCTTTGGATGGTGCTCTTCCTTTTGGGACAACTTTAGGTTACTTGAGAGAAGGGCCATTGAGTTCTGAGTCACTAAAACCATTTTCCAGAAACACTTAGGGAGTGGCCAGGCTTTGAGTTTTCTTCATAAACCATCCTGAATCCAAGTGGTAGAGGGAGGATATTGAAGGGTCATATGACAAGTTTCCATTTCAAGCTTCAGGTCCTTTTGCTAAAACCATAAATGTGCATTCAAAACACATAGTACTCACAAATATAGTTTTACTTCCCAGGTGATGTTGCTGTTAGTCTGTGGACCACACTTTGAGTAGTACTAAAAAACAGGGTGGTCTATGGCCATACCACCCTGAACGTGCCCGATCTTGTCTGATCTCGGAAGCTAATCAGGATCGGGCCTGGTTAGTACTTGGATGGGAGACTGCCTGGGAATACCGGGTGCTGTAGGCTTAAGAATAAATTTATTTAAAAAAAAACACCAAAAAAAATAGGGTGACTACTTGTAGGGTGCAAACATACCATATTTTTATCATAAGATATATTAACCTCCTTTTTAGTACAATGTGGGAGGGTGCTGCTTACGTGGGTGTCAGTGGCTCCAGGCTGGATGGCTAGCAAGATGATGGACCTTGTTTTATAGTCTTATGGAGGACTTGAAGAGTCTGAAAATTATCTTCACCTGTATTGGACCATATTTGAATGGTCTCTGTCTATATTTTCGTTGTATTTCCTACCTATGAAAACACCTGATTTTGAAGTTGAAAAAGGTCTAGTTTTTTGGAGTATGTAAGGATAGAAATTTATTTCCCTACACAATCATGTGGTAGGAGCTCATGTATCTGTGGGATTTTTCCTAGAACACCATCTTTCCCCAAACATCTATATAGGCAAAGTTGATGAAAAGCAAACCAAAATTGTAACATTTACTTGTTATATTCATTAATGAATGCTATGTATTTGGAGGTGATCAAAGTCATACGACATGACTTCTTTTGTCTTTGACAATTTCAAAAAATCTAAACATAGTTTTCATTTAAAATATATGTTTCCAAAGTACATATGCCCACACAGTACCAGTTTTAGAAGCATCTAAAGCCCAGGGATTACATAAAAAGTATTCTCCGAGTCAGACACAATTGCAAAGTCTCATGTCACCAAGACCCTGTATTCTTGATTTTTTTCCATTGTTGTTCAGAAAATCTGACCCCTATAACCAGAACTATTAAATAAAAACAAATTAAACAATCCCCCCAAAAACATTTCTAATGCGGGAAAAAATGTTCCAGTATATTTTCAAGAATTTGTTTGGCTTATTGAGTACAGATTTGGCACTTTTGAATGTCCACAGAGCAGGGATCAGCTAATATCAGAAAGGAAAACATTGTATTTACTTTAAGCTATTTGTACGTGAAAGAGGGGCTAATGTATTGGCAGATGGTTATGGATGTATTGGTAAGGGGAGTAATGCTGGGTATCTCTGTATCATTAAGTAAGAGGAAAAGAAGAGGAAAGCTATCTCAGAATAAATCTTTCAAATAATCAAAAGACAAATCAGAAATTGAGTGGCAATGTAGGCTATTAGGAAAGCCTTCAAAAATGTGTTCCCACATGAGACACCTGAAGGAAGGTGGAGATGATTCGATGGAGAGCAAGAGTCTACCCAGAGTGCCCTGCTCTTACTTTGCGATGAGGTGGATCCCGTACTGGTGATCCATGACTTGAGAAAACTGGTCCCAGAAATTCTTTTTCTCTAGAGCGTCATCCACTTCTTTTAGTCCAGAGCTATTCAGCAGAACCTTCAGGCCATCTCGTACATAGCTAAGGCCCAGAAAAGAACAGACATTCTAGGACAGTGACCTACACATAACTGAGTACATACAACTTGACTTTCCATTCTATCTTGGAAAGGACACAGTTTCAGAGAGAAAGATACTTTAGGGGATGGTAATTGTTAAATGTTTTCATCTTCCCTGATGAACAGTGCATGGATTTCAAAAGTCAAAATAAAGTGGTATCACATAAAATTTAGGTTGAATCACGTTAACAGCTTGCTTTCTTACCCAGAAATGTAATGACTTGGAAGAACTATCAATTTTCTTTGGGGGGATGTCCTACATAAGCAGGATAGGTTCCTATCTTTTTAGGGGTGGTTTGGTGTGTATCTTTTTAAGAGGACGATGAATGGATTAAGTATTTTAGTGAGATAAATTGTGCTCTGTTTGGCTTAGATGTTCATACCAGACATAGAAAATAGCTGACCAGTTGTACTGTGACTTCCTTTTCATGGCAAGAAAACTACCTCTCTTGTCCAAAAGGAAATTGTGACCTTTGTCCTGAAACGGAGGACTGATGTCATACTGCTCTCACCCACAGTGTATTCACATCAAACTATGACATACTTTCAGTTTACAATGAATATCTGCACAGTGTTCTGGTTTACACATTCAGTAACTCTGAGAGGTTACTATTAGAGAATATGGAATGGCAGAGCTTGAATGTATCTAGTTTTGGATCTAATGGCCCTTTCTGCCTCTTCCTCATCTCAGTGACCTGACATCAGGTGCACTGGGAGTGAACTGGGAGTGTTCTGTGCTAGGAACTCTTTTTATGTAGTGCACATAAGTCATGTACTCAGGAGGATTGCTTTTCTGAAGACACTCTACCCTTAGAGAGAAAACTGGAATAAATGTGAGCAGAACCTCACACAGGCTTATAGCAAGTCCCACATAAACTCAAGTGAGTTGCTGGACCCTCACCTCCCCATTTAACCTGAAAGAGTACTCCCATACATAGATCTGTTCTGTGCCGTGTCTTTTAAAAGCTGACTACAGTAGAAGAGTTGAAGCATGAGGGCCATCAGGAACTCGGGGAAGAGCTTGGCCACCACTTTCTTATAAGATTTCACAGGTAGAAATGTGCACAGGGCCTGAGATGCCTATTAGGGAAGGAAAATGGAGTTAAAAAAAGGCAATTGTCACCCTCCAAATACAGAGGGCAAGAACAGCTGCAAATCTTCCCAGCCTCTGTCAGCCTACATGTTCATTCACTCAACTACACTCACTAGTTTAGTTGTAAAGCAGGAACTAGGCCAGGCATTCTTGATAAAGAGATTCTGAGGCACTGTTAATGGTTCCCTTCTAGCTGCCAAATTTGTGGAAAAGAAGCTGGTCCTCAAGGAGGGCTTATATATAACCATGAGGAATTGTCTTACTAGTCAGCAGTCTTTTTAAAAAGCTCCTTGAATCACTTGACCCCTGAATAGTGTCCCTTACAATACTCACTACCATACATCCATACATCCTAACCCCTCATATCAATAAACATATCAATAAAATGGCACCCCTTTTCATTACATTTCTCTCAGTTTCCTCTCAAGTGTGGTGATGCTGGTCCATGGGAGAAATGTGATAGACACAGATGATATCAGACATGGACTCGATTGCTAAAGTTTATATGACTTAGCTGCTGGCCATCTCTCTACAGTCAAGTAGAGTTTTGCCCTTGGGAAGTTCCCTCAGAGTCTTTGGCCTTCTTGCCATATCAGTCACATCCTGACAGGTGTGGTAGTTTGAATGTAATTGGCCCCCACAAGCTCATAGGGAATGGATAAGGAGGTGTGGCCTTGTGGGGGTGGGCTTTGAGGTCTCCTTTACTAAAGCTACTCCCAGTCTCACAGTCTGCTTCCTGTTGCCTTCTGATCAAGATAAAGCTAGCATTGTGTCTGCCTGCATGCTGCCATGCTCCCCACTATGGTGATAATGGACTGAACCTCTGAACTGTAAGCCACCACCTCAATTAAATGTTTTTCTTTATATGATCATGCCATGATCATGGTGTCTCTTCACAGCAATAGAAACCTTAGCTAAGACAACAGGATATTTGTTCTGCTCTCTGTCTTTCCAATATGCATGTAAGTACTATCTTGAAGCATCCCAGGATTCTGAGTTTAAGTCATTTCAGTATGGAGGTGTGCCATGTCCTACTTACCTTAAACCATCCCTGTCACCTCCTTTCCCTCACACATACTACTATCTATTTTTGTTTATCTTGAATGTAAGTATTCGGTCCTTGTCTCTTTATCTTGGCAGAATGTATGCTCTGTGATCAAGATGTGGCACACATTGAATGTGTTTTGGATGGATGGATGCACGGGAGAGGACTGTGCCAAGGAGGTGTGGCTTAATCAGTGCAGATAGGAGTTTTCATGGTCAAGAAGACAACAGGGAGTAGAAACACTCATAGTGTCATTTACCGCCACAGGCATCATGTTGGTAGCATCAAGGGAGAAACGTCTTCTTTCTACCAGGGTTTCCTCCATCTCCACAGGCTTTCCTTTCAGTATTGACAAGATTGTCTTCAGCACTTGAGCTGCAACTCTTGAATCGGCACTTGCTGCTTGCCACATCAGTAGCAGCGCACTGCAAACAAAGGTGTTAAGAGCCATGTGTTCCACTTGCTATTTTAAGTTTGTCACAGCCAGTAGAAGGGAAGCAACACCTTCTTCCCTCCAGTGAATGAACTGTAGAAATAGAGCCGTATAATTTTTTCTAAGCTCTTCTAATGCACCTGTTAGAGTTGTGCTGCCCCATAAACTCAAAGTAGTGGGTTTTGTTCTTTAAGATTTCTTGTGGTCCTAGGTCATGAGTTTCAGATGAACAGTTAATGGGCAGAAAATTATCAATTAGTTTTAGCAATTTAAAAAAATATTATTTTATGTTCTTAGTTGTGTACATGTATGCATGTGGGTACTTATGGGTGACAGAAGAGGGCACTGGATCCCCCGGAGCCAGAGTTACAGGTGGTTGTAAGTCACCCAGTGTGAGAGCTCAGGATTTAACTCTGGACTTCTGTAAGTGCAGGGCTTAACCACTGAGCCATTTCTTTGGCCTTTAGTTTGGTAATTTAAAATTTGTCTTTATTTTATTGGTGGGTGTAGGGAAAAGAGGCTGGCTAAAGAAACCCACTCTGACCCTGGAGCCTAGAACTAGGGAAAGATGGCTCAGATAAGACCAGTGAAAGACACATAGTTTGGCTCAGTCAGATCAGAGCCATCTCTGCGCCTGGCCAACTGACTTATGAAACCAACCAATCACAGAGCAGGACAGTAGAACCCTAGGCCCCAAGTCAACCACTGGTTGCCTCTACCCCCAAGACATCCTGTATAAACCGCCCTGCCTAGTCAGTTAGAAAAAAAAGGCTATTTTCTCCACCCTGGTAGAGGCAGCTACTCTCCTGGACTACTCCTTCCCAAGTAAATCTCTTTCTCAAAAGAGTTTTGGGTGTGAAGATCTTCATTCACTGGCATAGAGAAGATCCTTACTGAGAAGTCCCTCAGTGGACAAAACAAGGGAGAGCTGAAAGAACAGAGCAAGGAGGAGCTGAACAGAAGATCTTTGCGGAGATGTCCCTCAGTGGACAGAGCCAGAGAAAGCTGAAAAGGTAACACTTTTCTCTGGAACCTGAGGAGATTGCTACTTTTATGCAGGGGCTTTCCCCTTTTGCAGAGTAAAGCCAAAGAAGCAACATCTTAGGCTGGAGAAGCAGAGCTCTGTTAGGAAGCCCCCTTAAATGGGAGTTGAGCAAAGCTCAGCTGTAGCGGCTCTCCAGGAGAGGAACAGGATTGCTGTATCCTGTGGGGAGACCATCCTCCATCATACTAGGTATACCCTGACTTTCCAGAACAGTCAGGATACCCTTTCCTGCTGAAGCAGTTTCAGGCATGACTCCTTGCAGTTCCAGCCACCAGAGCTGTGCTAAACAGCTCCAGGTGTCCAGGACACCTTCAGGGCAGAGCTGTTGTTTTGAGCAGCTCAAGGTGTCCAGGATAACTCGCCCTCCAGGGCTGAACTGTCTCCTTGCAGTTCCAGCCATCAGAACTGTCCTAAGTAGCTCAAGGTGTTGCCTGACTCCCCAGGTAGTCAGGACACTATAGCTAGAGTTTTCCTGCCTGGCCCATGGTCAGGACAAATCTCTCTCACCTGCCAGTCCCACAGTTGCTCAGACCCAACCAAGTAAACATGCAGAGACTTATATTGCTTACAAACTGTATGGCCATGGCAGGCTTCTTGCTAAACTGTTCTTATATCTTAAATTAACCCATTTCTAATAATCTATAAGTTGCCACGTGGCTCGTGGCTTACCAGTACCTTACATCTCACTTTTCATGGTGGTGGCTGACAGTGTCTCTCTGCCTCAGCCTTCCACTTCCCAGAATTTTCCTCTTTCCTTGTCCCACCTATACTTCCTGCCTGGCTACTAGCCAATCAGTGTTTTATTTATTAACCAATCAGAGCAACACATTTAACATACAGAACATCCCACAGCAGGACACCGTTCCCCAGAGTTGTTGCAACAAATTTACTTACATTGTTGGTGCCAAAACCTGGGACCAAACCCAAAGAGTTGCAACCAATTTACTTACAGTGGGTATTAATAGCTTAAGTCTGTCCTTTATGAATAAGAAAACCTCTATGTCTGGGAGGTTTTGGTCAAGGAAAAAAATGAGTAAATTAACAATGGACAAAAACAAAAAAATCATTATCTTTTTGAAGCAAGTTTGTCTTGGTAAGATTTGTAACAGAATATAATTTAACCCCCTCCCCCACAGTGATATTGATAAAATCTTGAGGTCCTACTGTGTGCTAAGCATTACACAAAGTTACACATAATACATGATCATACTTAAATCTTACAGCCAACACAGCTGATTCAAAAAAAAAAAGAATTTCTTTTTAGAAAAATAAATTATGTATGACTACAATAAAGGAAGCTTGAGCTTAGGCCATATGACTTTGGAGTGTGTGGACAAGTGTGTACAGAGGGGCAAGATGCAGGAAGCCTTACTTGTCTGCAGGGACTGGAAACTCCATGAGCTGAAAGATCACCTTCTTAGGGAAGGCTCTTGTCAGCAGGCTGATAACCTGCAACAAGACAATGTTCATCGGGTGGGAAAAATTCCCAGTGAGTTGTTCATAAATGTCATCCACAATTTTAGACACCTGGAAAAAGAATTTCATAGGTCAACAGAAGCATCATGTTCCTTGTTCACCTTTAAGCCGAGCCATTTCTTGGTTATAGGAATTCAACCTTTATTGAAATGACCAATGTAGCAATTAGCATACAAATAAGCAATAGCAGAAAGTATATTTATATTATTACAATGCAAAATATTTAAGGTCAGGAATAAAGTCATATAGTTATGGATATAGGGGAAAATGGCTTTAAAAAGTAGCTGAGTTGAGGTGATAAATTGCTGAACAGTTTTTCTGTTCAGTTTCTCGTTGGTTAGTGATTTGCTGTAGTAGAAGTTAGTTTTATACATAACTCCAATTTCCTTTTTGGCCTTCCTGCCTGCCTCCAGTGACATGTTATGGTTTCTTCTAGGCTCTCTGAGTGTTCTTTCCTATTCTGTTGGAGAACTCTGTTTAGTTAAGGAGATGACTATGGACCTCTCATTTCCCTCAGGTTGTGTTTGGTCTGTGGAATGCTCTTGCCTGCAGCAGCACTGAGAACTCTCTATGAGGTGGTCCTTTTCCTTGCCTGCTCTCTGAATTTGAACGACTCCTCTTAATCTACCTTCTTTCACAGCGCATGATTGTGTCAGGAGAGGAAACTATGAGTCCCCTATGTCCATCACTTTTAGGACTGTATTCATGGGTCTGTGACCTAATGATCTGTATGTTGAAGATCCATTGTTAGCAGATACTTTCACTCTTGTCTCAAGCTTGGATTTTTCATCTTGAAGTTTTCCGCTTTTGATATTGGGTTTTATAATTCAATTCCAATGGGACAATGGAGTACAGGAAATCCTTGTAATACGTGAGGCTTGCATGGTTCTTGTAGCCCCAGTTACATGTAATGTTCACAGTGCTTCATGTGCATAGAATTGCCATGATATGGGGAAGCTCAATGGGAAAACAAGCTGGATACCTGAAGCATCTAACTGAAACTCTAACCACTTAGCTGGAAAACGATGACATAGAAAGGAAGAGAAAGACAGGGTGTCATGGTCTGAGGATGTCCCCCAAATGTCATGTTAGAAACCTAACTCCCAAATGCAGCAGTCTCCCTCTCCCACCCCCTCTGCCTCTCTGTTTGTTTACCTGTAAGGTAAGGTACAAGGGGAACCCAGAGTTTGATATCAGGAATACTTTCCTCTACCATTTCTTATTTAGTAAGACTGTTTAGAAATTTGTCTACAATTGGTAAGTGTAATTCATTGTAACAGTCCCTACAAGTTTCCCTGTTTGAAGCATTTCACAAAAGCTTCATCTGATTAAAGTGACTCAAGGAACAATAGCAAGAGACAGGGATGTAAAGAAATAGAAAATAAAGCTGAAAAGTGGACTTTTGAGAGCACACTCTGTTCTTAGCTTGTTGTCAACTACATTACCGTGGTGATCTTCTGAGCATGATACTCCAAAGTCAGATTCAGTAAGAATGCAGCCTCAAGTGCTGATTCCTTATTAGATGAGAAAAGCTTCCTCAGGAGGGTCCACACGAAGTCACTCAGCAAGTGGGGCAGTAATGTTTGTCCCACACTCTGAAATCAAAAGGACATTTGTGACCACCAGTGTAAGCAAGACACCACAGCTTAGCTGTTTCAAGGCAGGGAAGTAGGTGGGTGGGGAGTTCTGGACCATGTAGAAACACAAGACATTTGTGAACTATGGAAACTGCTTTTCTGCTAAAAAATGATAGAAAGTGTGTCTGTGGTAGTGTTAGTGTAATGATAATCAAAACCCAGGTGTTATTATACGAAACTTATCTTCTGCTCTTAAAACAATTTCAGTGCCAAATATTACCACATCTTCAACAGTGTGAGAAATAAATGTGGATCATAGAAGATGCTGGAGGAACTAGGATGAGAGAGTCAAGGTGATGGGAATGTATACATTTTCTTTTCAGTGACAGAGACAGAGAGACAAAGACAGGAAGAAAGGATGAATGGATGTGAACAAACATAGACGTTTCATATGCCCATGACTAAGGTTCAACAATTGCTATGTAAACAGTTCCTTTTGAAGTTTGAGGACTATCCACAGGCTATAAATGATGCTGGGAATAGAAAGGAGAAAGGTGCCACAATTTCTTTTTTGCCTTTGTATGAAAAACACATCATCCATGCAAATGGAAAATGCCTCTAATCTTACCAATAAAAGATTTTACTTATTGCCTTTAAAGGGATGGAGTACTGAGGCTGGATAGATGACTCAGGAGTTATGAGCACTTGATACTCTTGCAAAGGACCTGGGCTCTCTCCTCACCACTACCTATAACTCCAGTTCCAGTGGATAGGATACCCTCTTCCGACCTTCACAGACACCAGATAGGCATAGGATGCATATACATTCAGGTAGACAAAACACTCATTTTTTTTTTTTAATGAAGAGATGAATTACTTTTCCTTTTGCTCACTAAGGCATGTCTGAGGTCTGAGACAGGGTGGATTGCACCCAGCCCTCCATCCCTAGCCTGCACATACTTGGCAGATCATTGAAGGATGATAATATTGGAAAGCTGTGGGAGAAAACCAAAGAACTACTGTGGCTTGGAGAGGTAAGTGGGTTGCTGTAGTTTGTCCTACTTGAAGAAAGCCAGATATAATTGTAAAAATTGAATTTTAAAATACCACTGGAAGTGATCATTTCTTCATTGAAATATTTGTTTACTCAACAATGGTTACTCTAAGTTATACCTAAAATTACAGAAAAACCAGTTCTCAGTGAAACCTAGAGCTGATATTAGAAGATTTTGTTTTGTAAAGCTGTGGATATGATAGTAGGTCTATTAAAAAGTAGAGTTTGTGGGGCCTGGGGAGATGGCTCAGTTGTAAAGTGATTGGTGTGCAAGCACGTGGACCTGAGTTTGGATGGCCAGCACTCATGTAAAATCTGGGGATTGGTGATGCATATCTGTGAGCTCCATGCTTAGGATTGGAACAGACACAAACAGGACACAAGGTTGGGTGGGTAGGGAGGTGATGGTGGATCTGGAAAGAGTTGGGAGAGGAGGAATGAATGTGCTCACAATACACTGTATGGAATTTTCCAAGAATAAAACTATTTAAAAATATGTTTGTGGAGAACCCCATGTCACAGATGAATTATTCTGAGATTATTAGTTTGTGTTGTATGAACTTGTTTTAGTGACTAATATGTTCCTCATCCTCTGTGAATTATTTATGCAGTCTTGTCCTCACAAACTGTTCCTATAGAAAAGAGGAGTGACCTGATTTACAAACTGTCTTCATGTTAAATACAGTCTTCATACTTCCGTGCTGTTTTGTAGCCAGAAGTTTTCAGCTACACTGTTTTGTACCCAACTTCCCTAGTGAATAACCTTACTGCTTGCATCCCTGTTTGCATCCTTTGAACTTGGTGGTGGTCTCTTGAGTGCCTTAGTACAGCTTTGGATTCTTCCCACCCACAGGTTGGTATTCTTGTTGGAACCTTGGACTCTCTCAACCCTGTTTGATCTACTCTGGAGGTCTACATCTCTGTTGTCTAGTCATTGTCCTTCCATGTCCTGTTAACTCTGAACTTTCTGTGGTTTAACAAGAAACTGAATAACAAATTCAAACACTTGGGTCTAGGGCACTCCAGTCCAAGGAGCTCTCTAAACACTGAACTCAGATGAGAGAGGACCAAACCCAGAGAGATATGTTGATAGTAAGTCTCAAGAGCCACTGGGGAAAGGTTACAAGAAGGCTGCTAGTCCCAGATTCAGTAGCTCAATCATGGTGCTCAGAGATCTATGCCCTAGTATTGGACTGGACAGGAGAGTGTGTGGATGAAGAAGGGTTTGCTTACAAGCTTACAGAGATTCCCAGTTTCCTTATGGAAATGGAAATATTTATATTCAACCAGCCTTGCGAGTTTTGAGGTTATGAGTGTAAAAAACAAAAACAAAAACAAAAAACAAACAAACAAAAAACCCTTGTCTTTGTAAAGAGGCACCATCAGGTATATATGTATTGCAAATATCCATATGGTATCCTTTGATCACAGTAATCATTTAGGTACATTGCTTTGGCATGTCCTTAGCCTTCCACAATTTTTTTTTTTTTTTTTTTTTTTGGTTTTTCGAGACAGGGTTTCTCTGTGTAGCTTTGCGCCTTTCCTGGAACTCGCTTTGGAGACCAGGCTGGCCTCGAACTCACAGAGATCCGCCTGGCTCTGCCTCCCGAGTGCTGGGATTAAAGGCGTGCGCCACCACCGCCCGGTGCCTTCCACAATTTTAACCATATCAGCCATTGGAAAAGAATCACTGCTCTATATTTCAAGTCTAGAAGAAAGAACACCCTAGAGCTTCTTATCCTAAGAGGTAGGCTAACCTGAAGGTCCTTCCCAGAACTTGTGCTGAGCTGTTGGATCAGTTTATATGTCTGAAAGTTAATCCACTTGACAGCCCAACTTGGGCCCAGTGCTGGGGAGACTTACAAAGCTCTAGGTAAAAAGTATGAAACATGAAGAATGAAACAATAATATAGAGTTATAGATCTTAATGGTTTCTCTAGGATTAGGATAGGGTAAAAATTATTTGCTTAATACTAAGACTTATCAGCGCATCATGTAAATAGTTTTTCCCCCCTTAAGATGGTATCTCTATACATATCAGACTGGCCTTGAATTTGCCACTCCAATGTTTCCGCTTCTTGAGTGCTAGAAGAATTATAGGCACATATAACTATGCCCAGCCCTTTTTGTAAAACTTCATAGAATTTTTTTAAAATAAAATCAAAGTTAAAGGTCATTCTGATATTTGTTGGGGGAAATTAATCACATTTTAGAAAAGACTTAATTGTTGACTCCATTAATTTTGTCAAAAAATTTGAAAGTTGTCCGGGTGGCAGTGGTGCACACCTTTAATCCGAGCATTCAGGAGGCAGAGCCAGGCAGATCTCTGTGAGTTCAAGGCCAGCCTAGTCTGCAAAGCGAAATCCAGGACAGGCACCAAAACTACACAAAGAAACCCTGTCACAAACAACAACAACAACAAAAAATTTGGAAGTTACTCACATATTATCACTAAGAAGCATCTATATAATTTACATTTTATAACAAGTAGTATATTTTAAAGTGCTATATTTGAAGATAGTAGACATAATTCCTAAGTGGCATGAAACTTAGGAAACCATATACTCTGTGAATCATTTAGTCATTTGTCTTTCTGAATAAAGAAAAGGAAAATTGAGTTATTCAAAACACCAACTTTGAGGAGATAAGTTACCACTAAGGGTAATGATGCATTTAAAACAAACTACATAGAGTATACCTGGGCAATTTTGTTTCTGTCTCCTTGCATGGTCTTGGATAGTAATTCAAAGTCAGAAGTTATCTCCTTGGGGTTATTGGTCTCTCTGTCACTTGCCATGCTAGATTTGCGTTTTACAAAGTTAGCTGTGTTAAGGAAAAGTATATAAGGTTTTCGCTTGATTACTATTTTAACATAAGACCTTGTTATTTCCAGTTTCCTACTCAATCCTGGGATGCCTACAATATTCTGGTTACTTAACACTCTGCTCATGGCCTATTCTCATAAAAGGTTAAGGTGGCATGGGTCCAAAATTTATAAAGTACTTAAGTGAAGCCATGTTTAACTCTGGCAATTTGAGATATCTATCTTCTTGTCCCCTTGATCATCCCAAACAGTCTGTCACTCCTCCTTCCTTGCTTTTGTCCTGTTTTCTGGTGCCCTTATTTCCTTTTTTATCTCTGTTGATTCCCGCTTCCTGCTTGCTTTAGCTTCATTTGTTCTTTCTCTAGCTGTGTGAGATGAAGGCTGCTCAGGATTGAGACCTTTTCTCCGTTCTAAAACAGGCAAATAAACCTGTGAATTTTCCCTCTTAGTACTCCTTTATCTGCACATTAGATTTTTCACTTCCATTCGGTTCAAAATATATTTCCTGTATCTTTTTTATTTGATCGGCAGGCTATTTGGGAGCATGTTATTTTGCTTCCAAATGCTTTGAGGTTTCCAGATATTTATTATTTTGATTTCTAATTTAGCACCATTTTGTCAGAAAATTATTTTTTTTTTAGCTTAAAGTATCTATTTCATGGCTCGTTTTTCTGTTGCTGGTGCAGGATTCTGTAAATGATGGTTAGTTCATGCTGGTTAAAGTCTAGATCTTTAATGATTTTCTGTGTGATTACACGCTGCTGACAGAAGACTTTCGAATTCTCTGACTAATTGTGGATCTTTCTCTTTGTTCTTTCACTTACATTTTTGGTAAGTTTATTTCTAATTTTTATGATGATACTTTTTTTTTTAGACACCGGAGTGTTGGGGATTATTATGTCTGTTAGCTGTTCTACCACTTCATCATTACAAAATAGCCCTTTCCCCTCAGAAACATTTTCTTGCTCTGAAATTCAACTTTTTATATTAATATAGCCCATAATCTATTTTCTTTTGATTACTATTAGTGTTTTTGTTATTCTCTAACTATTGTTTGTGTCTTCCTAGTTAAACAGGTTTCTTATAGGCCATATATAGTTGGATCTTACATTTTGTATGATCCAACAACCTCTGCCTTTAATATTGGGGTATTTTGAACATTTTTATTTATTATATTGGAGTTAATTGGAGTTTTCTGTCTTTCTCACCTGGTTTCTTTTTATTCTTCATCTTATGGACTTCATTTGGATTAAAGATATCTTATGAATTGACTTTATCTCCATTCTAGTTAGTTATATGTAACTCTACATTATCATAATTGCTGTGTTAAGTTTTATATGATACATTTGATCATAATACAGTTTACTTTCATAGGATTTTTCCATGATTTTGTGCACAGTAGAAAAATCTTTAAAAAGTATTGGTATGTTTCTTCCCTTCAAATTTTAATTTATTTATTCTTATTCACTCTGCTTTTATATTACTTTCATCCTTGTCTTAAATAATTATCATTCAAAGAAATTTAAATAAGGGAAAAATATGTGTTATGTTAAATATTTATTTACATGGCTTCAATTTCTAGTAGTTTATTCCTTCATTTAGGGGAAAATTTGAAAATTTCACATTATTTGGCTGTGTTTTCTCGATGGGTTTCCTACAACATTTCTTAAAATGTAGATCTGTTGGGAAAGAATGTTTGCGTATCTGAAAAATATCTTCAATGAATTTTCTTTTGAAAGGTGTTTTTGGTGGTAAGAGAACAATAAGATGATAATTTTTCTTTCTCTGTTTAATTGCCTCAGACTTCCATTGTTTCTGATGAGAAATCTATTATACATAAATAAATCTTTCCTCTGGTTTCAAATTTAACATTTTCTCTTTATCTCTGGTGATAAATAATTTAATTTAAATGTGTCTTTATTGTACTTCCTTTATATTTTTTGTACTTTACTCAACTTTTTAGGTCTATAAGTTGTAACTTTTATGAAATTTATATCATTTAGTCATTGTTCATTGTTCAGTCTTTCTTATTTCTGTCTAACCATTGATAATTACTACTGCTGTAGTCTCACAGACCATTTATTCTTCAGTGTTTAATTGCTGTTAATTCCTGCCCAAGTGTTTTTCATTTCACATAGTCTATTGTCCTCTACAAATTCAGTATAAGTTCATGGATTTCTCTCTCCTCTCTTCCTCTCTTTTTCCTACCCACCCTCCCTTCCCCTTTCTCTCTTTCTTTTCTTCCCACTTGGATTATGCAACCCAATGTGACATCAAACTCATGATCCTCTTGCCTCAATCTCCTGAGTAGTGGGACATTATGGGTCTTTTCAAAATTTCTGTATCTTTACTTACCATGATGACATTTTTAAAAAGTTTTTAAATAAGTAAAATATAGTTGTGATAATTGTTTTTAATGACCCTCTCTACTAGTTATATTATCCATTGCACTTTTTGATAAGTTTTGGCTGATTTTTATCCTCATAGTGGGTTGTATTTTACTTTCTTATTTATTTGTTTGTTTGTTTGTTTATTTATTTGGTCATTCACCTCAGCAGAATGCCAAATGCCATTTATTGAAGGAGGGAGGAGGCCTTAAATACAGGCTTATAGCACAATGGGAGAACCCTGGAGGGCAGAAGTTTGCTACCGATGTTTTACAATCTTGCATCTAAGCTGTTGACGTCCAATATGCAGGATACACAGACAAGGAACTTCTCTTAAGCATTCAGGAGGGTGGAAAATGGCAGGGAGTTAGTATAGGGAGGACATCAAGGTCAAGGCCAGCAAGCAAGGTAAGAGCTACCCAAAACGGGAGCCAGGGCCCTACAGGCCCCCCCTTTTACTAAAAAATGAGCTTCTGACTTAGGTTGTGTGGGACGTCAGCAGGTCACTTTACCTGTCATGGAAACACCTGCCCAGGCCTCACAGGCACTCTGTCTTAGGTTGGTGAGTGCCCCCCAGGAATTACCCGTCTCTGAATACTCATTATCATACAGGCTCAATCGTGTGTGAGCTGCAGAGTTAACTGCTGCCAAAGATCTCAAAGTGGTGCTGGGCTTGCAATCTGTGTGTTTGACACAGAAAAGACAAACAGAAGTCCTAACCCACGCATAGCCAGTAGGCTAAAGGCAACTGAGCCATTCCCTTCCTTAACGAGCCTTACTGCAAATTGGAGTCCTTGTAAGATGGTATCCCAAAAGCAAATGGAACTTGAGTTTATAAATTTATAACTTTCAAAGCCAATCAAAATGTATATAATTATTGAATTAAATTTATCATGCCCAATAGAATGAAAGATAAACTAACTATGGTAGCTACTTTTGCTGCCAGGGTCTCCACTGTGCTAGCTCCAATTATGAAATGATAATCCTAGAAACAGTAGCAGCGGTGGCCGCCACTGCTATAACAGCAACAATGGCAGCAGCGATGTCAAATTCTCTTCTGGAGCATGTGAGCATCCACTAGCATGGACACAACTCCAGGAACACGAACCACCAAGGCCCATTTTTCTTGATCCCAGCACAACTTAAGCTGGCAGCTCTTCTGGAGAATCCAACTGCATGGTTACAGTTCCTAGGCTTACATTAATGCTTGCCAAAGCTGGCCATATTGTGCTTTCAATCCCCATTGGCATCAGAAGGGGAGAGTTTTTCACGAAGGCCCAATAGGTCTCTGCCATGTTGGGATTCAGCAGCAGCCACAGGGCACACACAGTGCTCAGGAACCCAAAGAGGAACCTCATTGTCCTGAGAAAAGACACAAACAGAACCCTGGTCCCACAACAACACCAGATCGGGTCCCCTCCAAGTGCCAGTAGAAAAATCCTTCCATCGCACCAGAGGGTGATTTGCAACAGGAGCCCTCCAGTGCTTATCTGCAGTGGCTAATCCATCAGAATTCACCAATAAAAATTTTTAAATATATAAAACAAGGGAAAGAATAGAATGTGGAGAGGAATGATGAGCCCCTAGTTCCCCCTTTTTACTTTAGCAAAATATGTTTTTTTTAATAGTTCAAATTTTGTTTTCTTTTTATTTATATCTTTTTAAATTATTTATTTATTTATTTATGTTTCTATTATCAGCTTGATACAGTATAAATTCTTATCTTAATAGTGAAATGTTTCATTGAGGCTTGCTTAGTAATTGAGTAAGACCAAAATTTATTATAAGCCACAGTCATCTAGGGCCTCCCTTACTTTCTTTTTATGACTGTTTTTTTTTCTTGTTTGTTTCTCCTTTGGGACAGAATCTGACTGTACAGGCCAGTCTGGTTTTGACCTCAAAGTCCTCTTCCATAAACTTCCTAAAGGATGAGATGACAGATGGACACTGCTGTACCTGGCTGCATTGTAAGTTTTACTGGGTGCTGGACATTCTTAAATTTACCTTGTTGAATACTGGAATGCTTTTATTCTTAGAAGTAGGCTTCAGGTTTGTTCTGGTGAACAGCTAAAGTATTTGGAACTCATTCTCCTTATTAGCTTGTATTTTAAAATCTAAAATGTCAAATAACATAATCTAAGGATAGTTTTCTTCCTAATAAGACAAAATCATTCTGCATTACTTGTGAGTTATGAGGTTCTAAATTCTGGCTTTTAGGTGTTTGGGCACTCAGTCTATCTTTTGCTAGCTCCTTGAATATTTCTCTTTAACAACCATTGGGGGGAACATACCTCCTCTAAATGCTTCACTTCTATAATTTATCCTTCCTCTTTCTTCCTGACATTATCTGCCATCCTTGTCCCCTCCATCAATGTTCAACACCACTCCAAGAAACATAAATAGATCTAGAAGCTGCAAAGATCTTAAAGTACCAGCTTTTACTAATTAGAAAACTTCCTCAACAATGCTTAATTAAGTTTTAAAGTCATATTTTAGATAGTAGTAAGGCTACATATCTTGGGGTAGGGTTTACAAATAAATTGTAGACATAGAGGCTTCTTCAAAAGTCAAATAATTAGAACAACTTTTTTAGTAACAGAAGATCATGAGCTGTACTTACACTTCTGATACATTGCAATTTTGAGGACGTAATTCATCCCTGTGATTGCTTGTTGTGTGATTAAGGGATCTTCGTGGGCACACAAGAGTGAGAGTTCTGCTGCCAGGAGACCTAAACATGGAACATCGATACTTGGCTAATTGGAAAACAAGGGAGAAAGTGCATTAGCTTTGTACAGTCAACATTAAGTTTGCATTGGATCTTCTTAAGTAGGAAGGTACCATTCAGTGATTTTCAGCCTATGTGTCATGATCTCTTTGGGGATGAGTGACCCTTTCACAGGAGTTGTCTAAGACCACACAGATACTTACATTACAATTCATAACAACAGCAAAATTACAGTTATGGAGTAGCAATGAAAATAATTTTATTGTTGGGGTCACCACAACATGAGGAACTGTATTAGAGGGTCACAATATTAGGAAGGTTGAGAATCACTGACCCAGAGTCTTAAAACTCTGTACACAGATCCTGGGCTCTGCTGTTGAGGTTCAGTTTCCTTGTGAAATGAAAGTAAACAAACACTGTCTTTGTCACAGGTGCTGTAGGGACAACTGATAATGTGGGGGACTTCCTAGGGGACTGCTTGAGATAATAATGATTCAACTTTAGTTTGTATTTCCTAATCCAGGTAGGAATTGGTAGGTAGCAAATGCCTCTATGGAGGAGTGGGACAGTGATGGGCAGAGACTTGTAGGCATCTCCTATTAGTGTTCAGCTCAGGTCTGATGTTTTAAAGAATTTCAAACTATTGGAAAGCTCCAATTTTCCTATGCTAAATGCTTTAAATGACTATGAGTGAAATGTGAAGTTTTCTTTTGTGCTTCCCATTTCCAAGATATTGTTACAGTTTATGCATCTCCCCCTACACCTTCTTTGACACATTAGCTAGTTGAGTATTTCGATTTTTGTCTTGAGTAATTTTTCTGGCTGAGTTAAGTGCAATTACAGGGACATAAAAGGAGATGAGATGGATGGTGTGTGTTTGTATGAAGATAGGAACTGTTCATCAGTGTGTGGGATATAGTTGTGTTTTTTTTTAAGATAAACTGCTTTATCAGTCTATAGCCTTGTGCACTAGTGGCTTGGTCATAAGATATTTCTTGTTACCAAGATGAGGGATTATTATCCTAGACAGATGATTTTGGTATTTGCTGTGGCAGGTGTTGGTGGTAGAGGTTAGACTCCAAATGCACCCTCTAGAAAGATCCCAAGGCCTGCTCTCTTTCTTTCTACCCTTTCTGTGCTATTTCTCTGTCTCTGTCCTCCCCGAGTCTCTGTGAAGTTACCCAAGGCCATAGTCGAATTGGGGTGCTGAGAGGAAAGGCCTCAGTGAGAGAAGGGGAGACAAAATAAATCTGTTTCTTCTTTGGGTGTCCTTGAACTATTTTCACCCACACTTCTGTGTGACACTATCCTGGAACATTCCATTTTAGGAGTCCTACAGCCCAGAATCTAGAAGCAGGTAACAGAACCCACCTAGTTCTAGGGAGATGTGCTCTTATCCCTTGGGTGTTCTGCTCCTTGATTCAGCCTATCAAGCTTCTTGATTCTGTTGACTGTCAAGATCTTAAGGAACACTCCTGTGTTATGATCCAAAGGATTGGCGATGGTGGAAATTTCTATATTGGACCTGATAAAGAAATACTTCCTAGCTTAGATCATTGAAGCTGGGGACCAGTTGTTTACAAGGAAGGCCATAAGGGTATATGCATTACAGTTCTTGCCATTCATGCTCTTTGATTATTCTTTCTCATGAGCATGTGGATGTAACTTATATAACTCTGAGTGCTTATGCTTGCAATGAAAGCTGATGGTAATTTCTCTCTATTTGCTGTACAGAATCTAGCATAGTAGGTGTGACTGTCTAGATTGTTAGCAGGGCATTGGTTAGGATTAGCCAAGAGAAAAAGAAGGCAGGTTGTTAAACTGCACACAGTCCTTTCAGATGGGTATCAATCACAGTTTTGTCTTTTTGACCATCAGGATTTTGAGAACTTTGACAGGATATGCTCCACTCTTGTGGAAAATCTATCCAAGGAAGAAAAGGCCCAGAGAAAAGTAGCTTTGCTACTAAAGTTAGGGAATCCTGATTGAATTTCTACCTTCTCCCTTTTTATTGCAGACATTTACAGATCCTGTCTTTCTTCAGTTCCTTGTCTTAGAAACAATGATGGATCTAGGAGCTAGATGCCAAAGGCAACCACTTCTAAACATTTTAGCTGCCTCATCTGGAAACCACACCTGTATCTAACAATCAGCTTCCACTTATATTTCCAAAACCACGTGGTGTAGCATGAATCTTAACAGTTCTTATTAATAAGATCAAATCCGAGGCCAGTTATTGGGGTAAATGCTGGAAGGTCAGAGTACCAGAACAAGCCACAGCTATCTCACCTTGCCAATTCCTCAGCTGATCCTGTTTCCTCAGACTGGAAGCGTCTGTGTCCTCATCTCAATGGCTCTCAGCTGAACTGCTGCTAGAAGCCTGAATGCTTAACCAGCCCAAATGCTTAACCAGGCAAATGCTTAACCAGGCAAATGCTTAACCAGCCAAATGCTTCTAGTTTCTGGTCCTCACGCCTTATAAACCTTTCTGCTTTCTACCACCACTCCCTGGGATTAAAGGCTGCTTTCTGGGATTAAAGGTGTGAGTCACCATGCCTGGCTGTTTCCAATGCGGCCTTGAACTCACAGAGATCCAGGAGGATTTCTGTCTCTGGAATGCTAGGATTAAAGGCGTGTGCTAACATTTTCTAGCCTAAGTATCTTGTAGCTTTTCTGTTCTCTGACCCCAGGTAAGTTTATTAAGGTACACAATATTTTGGGGAACACGATACCACCACAAGGTGGATTGGTCTTATCTATTTATTCTTGATCCAATAAATCCCAATTTAACTAAAATACAATTTTCTGTGCTACAACAACTCCCTTGGTGGAGCCATTCCTTTCTTTCTTTTTAATAAATTTTACATTGTGTGTGTGTGTGTGTGTGTGTGTGTGTGAGAGAGAGAGAGAGAGAGAGAGAGAGAGAGAGAGAGAGAGAGAGAGAGAGAGAGAGAGAGAGAGAGAGCATGTGTGGGGGGCAGAAAGTAGATTGTAGAAGTTGGTTCACTCTTTCTAACCATATGGGCCCTTGCAATAGAACTCAGGTCATTAGGCTTGAGGGCAAGGGTGCTTCACCCACTGAGCCATCTCTAATGATCGGGCTTTTATTTCCTGCTGCATGTGACAGAGATATTGTCCCAATCACCTATTTTATGACCAACAGTTTGGAGGGCTGTTATTTCTCCTCAATTTCCCTCTGCTACTTCTAATATCCTCCTTCTATTAACTACACTTTTTCAATCTTTTATCATGGCCAAATGTATATGTAATATTTGCCCTTTTAACCATTGCCAAGTATATAATTTAGTGGCATGAAATTCACTAACAATGCTTTGCAACCATCATCGATGTCTAGTTCCACAGTGTTTTCAAGTAGATAGTCATCCTTTGCCCACAAAGCAGCTACTCACGCCCCTTCCTTATGGACTCTGGTACCCACACATCAGCTTTCTGTATACAGATTTCCCCATTGTGCCATTTACATAAAGGAGATCATACAACATATGATATTGTTTCCGGCTGGTATGATGCTTTGGCTGAGTGATATACCACTGTATGACTATGTCACATCTTGTTTGTTCATTCATTAATTGGTACCTTTCGGGTTGCTTCTTTTTTTTTTTTTTTTGGTTTTTCGAGACAGGGTTTCTCTGTGTAGCTTTGCGCCTCTCCTGGAACTCACTTGGTAGCCCAGGCTGGCCTCGAACTCACAGAAATCTGCCTGGCTCTGCCTCCCGAGTGCTGGGATTAAAGGCGTGTGCCACCACCGCCCAGCCTCGGGTTGCTTCTATTTAGCTATTTTGAATTTTCCTGCAATGAACTCTTGCAGGCCAGTTTTTATGTGAACACTGCATCTCTGTTTTTCTTTGTTGAGTTTATAGCATTTATATCATGTGCAGCAACCCGTTTAAGGGTTTTAGTGTTTGGTATTAAAGTTTAAAATTAAAATATGGTCTGTGACTTAGTAAAATAGTTGACTGAAGAGCCATGCTCATTTTACTTATGCTTCCTTTTGTAATCCCTTTCCTCACCACCTTTGTGGGGAATAAATCCTCATCTGGACTTTGAATGACATTTTGATAGAAAATTGTTTTCTTGATTTACTTTAAATCGCCTCTTTTAGTCACTGAGTTTTCTCAAACATCAGGTAACTTTTGATTATCTACTCATATATAAAAATGTAATAGTAACTGGGATGTAAGACTCTTGCTGATGATACCACATGCTTTGGTTGCAGGATACAGACAAATCAAGTTAGGACTGAATTGGAATCTTCCTTCCTGCTGGCTAGCATTCATAATGCCCGAAGGCATTATACAAGATGCTGGAGGAGAAAAATTATCAATATTTTACCTAGCTGTGGACTATGCACACTATAAAACTGATCTATCAGGCAAGATATGCCCATGGGTGAAATAATGGCATGACTGGTGCAGGGCGTAACCAACCACTTGTATTGGATTTGAAGCTCCATCCAAAAGAGGAAATACATGCCTAGTACTATAGACCTTTCAAATGCCTGTGATGAAGGAGGTCACAGACCCTAAGGGGAATCTTCAGCACTGATGTGTTGCTAAGAAGACATGTAGTCAAACTGTCTTCTAAATATTTTTGTTATGCCTACATAGTGGCTCTTCTCTCAGTCTTGCTCAGAGAAGCTTCTTTTTGCAGCAGGCAACAGTCAACGTGAAGACCTTCAACTGGTCAGAGTGCTAAGAATAGTGACCATTGAGAACCCAGCCCTAAATGGCACATCTCTATCCACTCCCTGCCCTTTTCAAAGCCCCAAGAATTCTTGGAAAATAAAGAGAAGCAATAACAAGACCCAGAGGACAGGGAGGAGTGCTTTGAAATACTATTTTCTTAATAAGCCATAGCCATTGCAATCATGAAAGCAGCAGCTTTGGCTTCCTGCACAGGACATGAACTAAATAATAAGGCATCAAAGTGCGAGGGAGACCACTATGTAAAGAGGTCAGCAAGAGGGGAAGAGAGTCATAGGGGCATATAATATATAAAACATATGTATACCTATATATATATGTATATATAATACATTGTATATGTGTGTGAAATTGTCAAAAAAATCTAAAATTGAAAAAAAGGTTGTAATAATGCTTCATGATGGGGGTTTTAATTGGAAGCAAGGCTCATCACCTAGGTACTTTGCTTTGGAATAGTTAAGGCTTCCCTCCCCCCTCAGAATGCTTAGCAAAGGTTTTCAGGGAAAAGGAAGTCCTCACATGTGCCCACCAATGAGTTTTATGTTAAGGAAGGGCCTGCCTAGTCTTTAGCATAAGTTTTCATTTAATCCATTCAATTAGCACATACAAATCATTGTCTTTCTGTTTCTTGGCTCTAGACTCCCCTGGTCCCTTTTACAGCTGTGCCATCCCAGGCTCATGGATGCTACCCCATGGGCTCCTCTGTTAGGTGTACTGGTTATCATTTTTTATTTAATCTGCCTTCTGGGAGTTGACCAGTGAAAGCCCTCCACTGATTCCTTTCATTGCTGCGTATACACACATTAAGGAATCAGAGCACTGTCATTTTGTGAGGACACTGGAAAGGAAGGAGGTAAATGTGGACAATGTGCCAGCTGTAGCTCAAAGTTCTGAACCCACTTTTTAAAGGAAGTTTATTTCGGCTTATGGCTGAAGATGGATAAGAGTCCATGATGGCAGTGCTATCGAGAGGCCTGTATCAGGAGGGACGAAGACCAGCAGAGGACCAGTTCAGTGAGCTGGACATTAGATTCTCCTTAACTTCAGTCAGCCTTTAGGCTGAGAGCTGCACTACAACCCTGTGAGAGACTCACCAGCCAGAGGCATCTAGTTACTATACCTAGACCCTGAACCACAGAAACTGTTGGATAAATAGGTTTGTGTTCTAAAGCTACTAATAGTAAATTTGTTATGTAGTTTACAGACAGCACCCAAATTAGGGTAATGTGTTACACAGTAATAAATAACAAAAACACAAGACTTGGCTCACATTCTTCCTTTGACTTTTCCCTGACTTATCCTTGCCAAGAGCAAACTTTGCTTCACTTGAACTTGATGGGACCTGTTCTTCTCCTTGGTCATTTTGTACATACTGGTGTCTTATCCTCTCTTGTTTTTGTCCTTGTAGGAGGGCAGCAGCAGTGCATTCATCTTTAAAGGTACCAAAGGAACAAAGATGGAAACACTCTTTCTATTGGTAGCCCTATATAACATTGCTAGCTTACATGCCTCCACCTATAAGAACCTGCCTCCTTTAACGAAATGAACAGGTGTTCATGGATTGCAGGGACGCTTCTCTACCCTGACGGCGACATCATCATGTGAGGGGAATCATCATTTTTAAAGGTATTTTTTAATAAGTCACAAGTGGCTGTCAAGATTCTTCAACAGTCTGCCTAGGCAAGGGTGGTTTATAAAGAAAAAAAAAATCTCCATCTAGTATCTGGACAATACCGTAGCACAGAGTGTGCAGTCACGTGTAATCAAAGAACAGACAAATATTCTTTGTGCCAGATACTGAGAGAGACATACTAGGCCTGTGGGAAGCCCAGCTTTTAATTTATTAACAGTAGTTTGGATTATGTTGTTATATGTATGTAACTATATATATATGCATACTTATAAATATATAATTGTTTTGTATATATATTATATATATATATGTTTTATATATAAATTTCATTGACCTAAATATTTTTCTAAGATATTATTTTTAAAAGAAAGCTGACTTAATGAAGTTTATGTTCTCAAGACCAAAACAAGCAGCTGGGTAGCTAGCAATGCTCTGAAAAATGCTGATATGTTGCCATCTGGTGGCCTTTAGTGACCACTGCAGTACTAGGTTATCCTATTTGGACTTGCCCAATCTGCTGTAACTAACCCCGTGTGGCTTTGGAGTCACACTTGAATGTGTGTGATTACATTTTTCACACCTGAAGTGTCCTGTGAGAAAAGGAACATGTCCTATGCTACAGTAAGGGGAAAAGAGAAGGGAATGGTCACATAAGACAACTTCCAAATGTCTGACCTACTCCCTGGGAGTGGCTTCATGGAGTATATCAAAATTCAGAGGGAAGTGTATGAACAGATAGCAGATAAACAGTTGGCATCAAATAACTGCTGAGTGGATAACATGTGTTAGGAGCACAGAAAATGTATGAGGGATGAACTATTCTTAAACCTAAGAACTTAATCAATAATTTAATGAACATTAGTAGAGTATATATAAATATTTTATATATAAAAATCAGCAAAGGACCAATTCAGTGAGGTTGACATTAGATTCCCTTTAACGTCAGTCAGCCTTTAGATTGAGAGCTGAACTGCAACCCCGTGAGAGACTCACCAGCCAGAGGCATCTAGTTATTGTATCTAGACCCTTGACCATTTGAAAATTACTTAAGAGGATAAATTAGAAAAGGAAATATTGACATAAGCATCCACAAGAGGGAAATGTTCACAGTGTGAGGTTTCTGAGAAAGTGGCAATGATGTATTCAAAGCTGAAAGCTTCATAAAAGCTTGACAATTAGAATATCTCTTCAATTTTCATATGAAATTCAGCAATCAAGTCTAATTATATCCCAGTATTTGTGAAGCTCTGAGAAATGGACTCTCTAAGAATACAAACCATGTTTTAATGACCCTTACCCACTCATGCCTGTCTCCTAATATTACTCCACTAAGCATGTCTGGATAGACCTGCACACAGTGTTTTGCATTATGTAAGGTAGAAACATTCAAACGCACCTTGATAATCATCAACTGGAAAGTAAGATACATCCATCACAATGTACCCAAACCATGACACACACACAGCGCATTTAGAAGTGTGAAATAAAGCTACATGTATTGAGATATCAATGGGACATGTTTACAAGCCCAATGAAGAACCATAGGTAAGCACAGTGCAACTGTAGTTAAGAAAGACACGGTAATGAACACATCTTGACAGGACACATGGAGTCAGAGTTCTCTCCAGTCCCGCCTGGTCCTGCGGTCCCACTGAGCCCTGTGGTCCCTCAGCTGCTTATAAAATAATCATTCAGAAGTTTATATTATTTACAAGCTGTATGGCCTATGACAGGCCTCTTGCTAGCTAGCTCTTATATCTTAAATTAACCCATTTCTATTAATCTGTGTTTTGCCATGTGTTCTGTGGCTATACCGGTCTGCTGGCGTGTTGCTCCTTAGGCGGCAGGCTGGCATCTCTCTGGACTCTGCCTTTCTCTTTCCTGTCTTTGTCCTTGGATTTCCCAACTGCTTCTAAGCTGCCTTGCCATAGGTCAAAGCAGCTTATTTATTAACCAACAGGACAACATATATTCACAGCATATAGAAAAACATCCCCCAGCAGACACATATCACACTGACAGGGATAGAGTGCAGTAAGCGGGGGAGTAAGGGAAGGTGTAGACTTTAGTGTGGTGAACAGTACAGGAACTCAAGGATTAGTTGTTGGGGACACAAAAGTCATTGCACTCACAGATAGAACCAGGAATGTTAAACACCCAGGACTGTCTTTTCAAGAAAAATATGTATAACCTGTTTTTCTATCCAGAAGGCTGGAAAGGGAGATGGGTAATGGCCTGGCAATCTACACTATCTGTACAGGCAGATTATTCTAAGCTCCCATGAGCAGGATTGGAGGTGGTTAATAGTCTAGGTGATCTTTGCATTATCTGTATAACCAGGGGCTCCCCTTAGCTCCTACAACGAGTACTAGAGGTGGTTAATAGCCTAAATGATATCTATGCTATCTGTACGATCAAGACCACACCAGATCCTTCCCAAGGTCCTTAAGATAATATAGGTAGCTTTAGTCTACAACCCATCTTCTTGGAAGAAAGGACATGTAGTTTGAGAAGAATTTTGATATAATTATGCCTTCTTGTGCATAGAGGATTGTATTACACCAGGAAACTTCCTTTCAAATCATACTGTACTTAAACATGCTTACAATGACTGATTGGAGTCAGACTCTAGAAGCTTGAACCAACACCAACTAACTAAGTAGCGTTGAACTGGATTTCCTTCTTGCCTCATGTGGATTGTTACTCTATGGGCCATGGTATTTGCCAAGACCCCCCACAATTAGTTGTATGTATTTAAAATAAAAAAGGTTTAAAAATACTTTAGAAAACAGGAAAGAAGATGAGGCTGAAATATGTGACATTACAAACAACACTGGTTCAACAGAGAAAAGTCTAAAGAGCAAAAATCTGGGGTTTTAACACGCTCATTGTATGTGTATAAAGTAAAATGCAGTTAGTTAATAATTGGAAAAAAAACACTGCTCAAATTGAGTCACAGTCATGTAGACTGTTGACACTTTCTAGACATCCCTGTCTCCTAGCCCATGGCACTGAGCCAGCATCAGTGATCTCAAGACCTAAGACCTGGCAAACAGACCTCTAGAAACTCAGTCTTGAGTAGGCAGAATTTCTGAAGTCAGTGACTTACGTATTTCTTGACTCTCCTGGATGCAAAGATGAGCACTCTGGTGATGAGCATCATTACTCGTTCTTGCAGGTACTGCTTATTCTGACTCATCCAGGTGACCATTTCCTGTTGGAAACATAACAGCTGTTTTAGAACCACAGTATTTCCATTTTAGAAAGGCTCATCTTTGTAGTTTCCAACTTAACCAAGGCAGGCAACATCATCTACTGATTGATCCATATTTGACCTCATTTTATTTAAATTGCAATAAAAAACCCAGTCTCCAATTATTGTACAACTTCCACTATTATACTAACACATTTGTGTTTTATTAAATTTATTCAATAGTTACTAATATTCACTCTAATCCAAAATTTTCCATATCATTAAAGATTTTGTATGAGACTATGATGTTATGCCACCTCTTTAAGTTCACACTTTCCCTTTGAAAAGCATAGTATTTGTATTTCACCTTTAAAAGAGTACTGAAATAGTATCTGATCCAGAAATGTCAATTTACCTCAGAATTCTTCTGCCTCTTGCTTTATATATTCTGGAGACAGCGTCTTGGGTTCTGTGTGCCTGCAGAACTACCTCCATGAGGACACTGCTAAGATTCATGGCTCATACCTTTCAGAGATGTGGATGGAGCCACACCTAGACTTGCTTGAGTCCTAGCCAGGACAGTGGAGGTATGGTTTGCTGGCACTTGAGGGGCAGAGTGTCCAACTGGTGCAGATCAGTTAATGCTGTCAGTACCTGTCCAGAAACTGTGCCCTTGAGGACCTAGCTTGCCTCAAAGATCTCTGAAAAGCCTTCAGGATCCTTTTCCCATTGAACAGATGGACAGAACCTGGCTTTCTCCTGTACAGATCAATCTCTTGAGTGAGCAGTCACCTGACCAGTTCATTAGCATTCTCTCTCAAGCACAAGCTGCTATACTTGTCCAGGTAAGAGTTACTCAGATATTTGCATTCTACAGCACTTTTATTTAAAACTTTGATATTTAAATCTTGTTTTCCTCCTCTTCTTTTACTATAACTGACCAAAAGAAGCCATGTAGCGAAATGGACACTTTACTACTTAGAAACTTCTTCTTCTGGATAACCTAGTTCCAAAAGGGAAAGGATCAGATGAAATGGAGCTGCTGATGACTTAACTTCTCCTTCCGGAAGAGGATTTTATAGTTCTGCCTTCCTCCAAGTTCTAGAACACAGGCATACTTCCTCCAAGTCTCCATAGCTATGTGAGAAGAATATCTTTTTTTCTAGTCTCCAGCACCTCATTCCTCCTCTCTGAGACTTCATGGTCTTTGTTTGCATCTTTCTACCAGTGTCCTGACTGGGATCATTTAAGTAGTCCGTAAGAAAATTTAGGCTTCTGCTATAGCTCATCTTCTAATTCCCACAACAATGATTCTAAATTTCCATTCATAGCAGCAGAGGGTTTTTCTAGCTCCTGTCTCTAAATTCTTCCACCCTCGTTATCCACTTCTCAAACTGATTTCATGTATTTATGTATTGTTATAAGAACAGTCCTATATCTTGGTACTGATTTTCTACCTAAGTCCATTTCATGTTATTACAGAATATCTGAGACTAGGTGATTTGTAAAGAACTTTAAGTATTCTTAGAAATTCGTATAATTTTTGAGGCTATAAAGTAGTTCAAAATTGAGGAGCACTTACCTATCAAGGGCCCTTCTTACTGCACATCCCATGGTGGAAAGCAGAAGGGGAAGAGCATGAAGGAGAAAGAGAAAGGAGGAGACAACTCCCTCTTTTTATCAAGAACCTAGTCTCATGATAATGGCCATAATTAACTGCTGAAGGAAGACTTCTCATGATCCCCCCAACTCCTAAAGTGCTCCACACTTTTGCACTGGGGAATTGAGAAGTGAATATATGAGCCTTGGTGAATGTAGTCAGTATAGGAAGTGGTATACACGAAGGTAAACTGTACGTGGACATGTGTGCTGGTTCGTTTTAAATGTCAACTTGACATAACTTCCAATCACCTGGGAGGAGAGACTCAGTTGAGAAATTTCCTAAATCAGGTTGGCCTCTAGGTGTGTCTGAAAAACTGTCCTGACTGTTGAGTGATGCAGGAAGATCCAACCCACTGTGGTGGCATTATTACCTGAGCAGGTGGTCCTGGACTATAGAAATAAAGAAAACTAGCTGAGCATAAGCATCCTAGCAAGCAGGCACCAAGGGTACATCATTTCTCTTTCCTCTTGATTGTTGGGTATGGTGTGCTGTCTGAATTCCTACCATGGTGACTTCTCTGCAATTATGGATTATATCTTTCAATTGTAAGTCAAATAAACCCCCTCCTCTCTTAAGCTGTTTTTGTCAAGGTGTTTAATCACAGCTACAGAAATCCAGCAATGACAGAGTCCTTAGCTCCAGCAGTGGTGGGACAGAACACAAACAGGCATCCTCACAGAGTCGCCATTGTTCTGTAGACTTGAAGGGAGCTTAGAACAACACTGGTCTTTTACTACCCCCCAACTCCCACGTCTTTGCACAGAAGGCTTGACTTCTCAGTAGCCGTTAACACCATTTCCCCAAATTTAATCTTTTAATAGTTCAAATAAAGGAAATGGTTAACTTTGTGAGTAATTTCACATCATTGAATGTCTAGAAAAAAAATTCCAGCCTCCAAGTAGTAGATGGAAAGACAAATATGGTCAATTAGAAATAAACAGAATGTGCTAAACTGTTTATATTATAACAAAACCATCTGTCTTGCTTTTACCTTTAAGATCTGTATCTTGTAGAAGTCTTTAGACACTAAAATAATAAGAGTATCTTCATATACATTGAAAATATTTTCATATAAACTCTGAAATATAAAACAGAAGCATGCAATCAGCCAGCCGGCCTTAAATTAAATTTTACCAAAAGTGTATAGCTTTGCATTTAAACATCCTAGTTTCCCTCATAAACTTAAGATAAGAAAGGGGTGGAGGGGGCAGCTCTGCCTCTAAGACCTCACGCACTAGCATTTTCTACTGTTCATTAACATCTTCTATTGCTCACTAGCATCTTCTATTGCCCACTGGCATCTTGCATTGCTCACTAGCATCTTGCATTGCTCACTAGCATCTTGCATTGCTCACTGGCATCTTCTATTACTCACTAGCACCTTCTCTTGCTCACTAGCATCTTCTCTTGCTCACTAGCATCTTGCATTGCTCACTAGCATCTTGCATTGCTCACTAGCATCTTCTATTACTCATCAGCATCTTCCATCAGTTGCAGCTCCAGCTTAGGGCTTACATGCACCATGGAGCAATGTGGACAACACAGAAACCACAAATGTTACTGATCTTACGATTCTTTGTTTCTGCATTTTTCTGTGTCTGCCCCTCTCCTCCCTTTCAGAACTTCCCAACAAGCTCCTTTGTCTTGCTAAACAAATTAACTCAGACTATCTTCACTCATTTGTTCCTATAAACCTTGTACAATCTGTTAAATCCTTATGGTCATGAGGATTTCAGGGATATGGGCTGGTGAGAGCAAATATATGATAGACAAATGAAGACATAGGCAGGAGAGTCTAACCATAGAGGTGTACCATGTAGCTTGCTGTGGTGTATGCCAAGACCTTGTCAGTAGTAAAGGAAGAAGGAGCCTACCTGCAGGTCCCTAATCTCCTCAGGGTTCTTCCCCATTGATTTCACTGTGTTAAGAGTTGGTAAGGAAAATGCCTTTTTGAAAGATAACTCTATTATCCTCAACTGTGACTCAAATTGCAACAAAGGATCAATGAAACTGACAAGAAAAGGGAACATAATTACTAAGTGAGTAAGATTTCAAATGCAACCTAACTTAATTAGTTTTCTTAGCACAAAAGTACTAAGTGTGAAGTACAGTTTGGGCTTTATATGACACACAGATTCCTATATTCTCTTAACAATGATGCTTTAAATATAAAAGAATAATGTTCTCTGGAAGCAACGGCATACAGTTATTCAGAAATCAGAATATATTTCTCTAGATATAAAGTTATAGACTGATTACATACCTAGTCAAATCCACAAATCCAGTGTACTTCAGATAACTAGGCAGTATTATTACCACATTTTCCTAGCCAATGTCAATATTCCTGGTATTGTGTGCAACTTCAAATTGATTGCAAAAGAAATCTGCCCACCATCAGCCTTAAAATGTATCTGCTTATCAATGCAATCCAGAAACTCTTAAGAGAGACCCCTTTAAACAAAGCTAGCTGAAATGGGGTGAATGAATCGAGAATAATTAAGTTCTTATGATTATGTTTTAAATATATCACACTTGCAAGATATTTAGTTAGTGAAGTCATGGATCATTATAGCTTACATACCTAGAGTTCATGGCCAAGATAATGGATTGATCACTTAGCATGGTTGAGTATGTATCCAATAGGATTTCAGCTTTAAACTCCTAAGGAACACAGAAAAAACAAAACCCAAAGGATCAACAATTACAAAACAATGATATTCATACCACCATGTTCAGCTCTCCCTTTTACAGAGAATAAAGGAAGCAAATCAGATTGTAAATGGAAGATTCATAGGATTAAAACTAGAAGTTTTTTGACTCAGCCACAGTATTGGTGGCTTTTTACAGCCGACCATTATTCTTTTATAACATTTCAGACTAAATTTGTATGGGATGCTCTTTACCAGGTGTGTGTGTATACCACTGAAAAGTTGAACACAATCTAGTTGGTATAGAGTCAACCTATGGAAATGTTAGCTGGGTAATTGAAGTTCAGTCTTAGTGCGTATCGCTTAAATTTGCACTAGAGAATAAGGATCAAGTGCCATTTAATGAGCAACTATCTAACATAACCATGTAACCACTAAACATGGTAATTAAAGAATATGTAATACTTCCCTTCCAAAGCAAACAAGATTAAAGAATATGTAATGCTTCCCTTCCACACTGGAAAAGTGACCCCAATTAGCCAAAGCAACCAAGAGAAAAAAGAGTGGAGGTACCAACACGTTATAAAGTAATGAGAGAATAAGCCTGAAACCCCCCCCCCCAAAAAAAAAAAATTAATCAAGTGAAGTGAAACTGAGATTTCAGGAATAATTTTACCAAAAGACAGTCAGTCTACCTTAGGTGTGGGTACCAAGAACATAAAATGGCAAAAGAATGGTCTCAATATGTATTGAGGTATATGATGTTGGTCATGTGCCATATACAAAAATTAAATGGTAATCTACTAAATACTTAACTCTAATATGACAACTATAGAACTCTTAGGGAAAAAAAGCAAGGAAAAAGGTTCCTGAAATTGGCCTTGACTTTGAATTTTTGTTGTGGCATAAAGCGTAAGCAACAAAAGTGAAAGTAAGCCAGAGTTTAGTTTCTCTGAAAAGTTTCTTCAGAGAAAAGGAACACTCAAAATACGGTAAAGGCTACATGTGGAGTGGGCAGAAAGAACGGAAAAGCATACACCTAACAAAGCATTGACTTCCAAAACACATGGAGAACTTAAGAAAGACAAATGGCCACTTACAGCGCAGACTTTTAGCAAAGGATGGCTGAGGAGTCCCTCTTTTCCTATATGTACCTCTCCTGTCCAGCCGGGCCTCTATTGCCACATTACTCCTGGTTTTAGGGCCAAGGAAATGCTTGATCCCTATTTCTGATATATTACAATGACATCTCAATGGGATCCCTTCCCTCTAATGTACAGGCAAATGCATACAGCTGATTAATTGCTACTTTGGGAGAGAATCTCTTCTCTATTTGCTTCATGCTATTCTTGAATCTCCAGGGTTGAGTCTTGTGGGATCTGTGTGCCGATATTGCAAGACTGCTTGCCTGGGTATTAAATTAGAGGAACTTCCTGATCAGGGTCTGAACTAAGAAAATGGCGTTCCCCTTGAGGCACAGCATTCTATCTCAGACACAGCCATTAACATTTCCCTAGTCCCTCGGCTCCATCGAGTTCACTCAGACTGGATGGCACAGAGAAGTAATTCTCCTTTCTCTAAAATACCTTTTCTTTCTCTTACAACACCAAATATGATTTTATTTAACCTTGGGGGAACGATTTCTGGCAATCTGCATTGTTAGCATACCACATATTGCTGGGAGAAAAGAACATCTACACTTCAGACAACCTTCACTGTAACATGAAGCTCTGTGGTAACTTGCCTATCTTGAAATTAAACATCTTTGTGCTATTCACTATTCCACTGAGCCAAAAATTCACTGGCTCCTGTCCCCTTAGCATTGACTAACCGAACAGTCTGTCTTTGAATGGTTATAATCATCCAGGGCTTTTCTCATAAATTAGGATCCAACTGGCCTTGTGCCCTTGGAAATCAGTTAGTAATATTCACAATGTCCTATAGTGCAGAGGTGGGAATAGGGGTAGGCTGGGGGGAAGGGGAGGGGAGCGGGAGCGGGGAGAACAAAGGAATCCGTGGCTGATATGTAGAACTGAACTGTATTGTAAAATAAAATAAAATAAAATTTTTAAAAAAAGAGACTAAAAATATAGATTCTAACTATTAAGCTACATTTCTAGATATTTGTCATCAAGTCCAGGCACTGATGTTTTTTTAAAGTCTTCCAGGCAATTCTGAAGTACAACATTACAACATCCTTCCTTACTAGATGGCTGTCTGTTTCAGTTTCAAAATTTTACCTATCACTTTTGGTTATTAATGGTGTCATGGATAACTCCAGGGAAACAATGTCTTCTAGACAAAACAGGACTGACGTACATATGAACTCACAGAGACTGTGGCAGCATGCACAAGACCTGGACAGGTTCAAGCTAGATGGGGTCCCAGCAGTGAGGGGGGAAATCAGTTTTCTTCAGTGGAGTGTCCCCTGGTATATTAACCACACTCTAGGGCAGGACCAATTCCCCTGAGTAGTTGGCCAACATAAAACAAACTCTGTGATCTTTTTCCTGTGCTTTTTGTTTAATTTTGACATATTTTTGGTTGTTTGTTTTGATTTCAATTTTTGTGGGTTTTCTTGAGAGAGAGAGAGAGAGAGAGAGAGAGAGAGAGAGAGAGAGAGAGAGAGAACATAAAGTTGGATGAGTAGGGAGGAGGGGAGAATCTGTGAGAGTTGGGGGAGGGGAAACAATCAAAATACATTGTATGTGAATTTTAAATAAAAAAGCAGTGTCATCATCATTGTTAATTCTGAATTCTTTTTATTTAAAATCTTTAACGTCATAATTCATTCATTCAATGCCCTGTCCCCAGAGCAAGCAAGTGTTCTGTTTTTTAGTGCCAACAGCCTTGGTGCTAGGCTACTAATTCTACTACCAGACTTGGAGTTTTCATACTGGCCCTGTCACTTAATAATTATGTCACCACAGGCACGTCACCTCCTGCCAATTTTTGCTTCTTTTCAAAGTAGGGATGACATTAGCACATCCCCTAGAGGGCTGTTGTGAGGAGTGAACGATTATGCACTTTAAGCACTCAGAGATGCAAACTAATACCCCATGAGTGCCTACTGAGCATTACCTGAAGTTGTTGCTTGAATGGGGGGAGGTTGCTCTGTCTCTCTGTCTCTGTCTGTGTCTCTCTAGGTCTCTATCTCTCTGCCTCGTCTCAATCTCCTTCTTCCTAATCTGAGGTTGTAGCTCTGAAACTGAGGAATGTATTTTCCTTCTTCCTTCTTTCCAGGTGGCCCTCCTCCCTTCCCTGCTTCCTTCTTTCATCTTTCCTTTTTCGTTCATGGCATAATATTGTATCTCCCTCCCACTGGTCATCACTTCTGCCCCCACAGGTGGCCACAAATCCCTACTGATGAGGAACTCATTCCCTTAGGGAAGAGTCATGGCATGTGGTGCTCTTTGCTTTCTTGCATACCTGTGCTCCTTTCTCTTCCTGGGATATACTTCGCTTTCAGCTGGATATTTCGCTTATCCTACAACATCCATTTAATATTCTCTAACCACAGGTAAATTTTGGAGGTCCCTTCAAGCATGTGTCTGTCATATCTAACCTGCTGTGCCTTCCTTATAAGTTACTGACATTTCTTATCACTAACTTCACTCACTTCTCCATTGGACTATAGGCTATTTGAAACTACTTTCTGAATTTCATTTTGTGTTGCATCTCAAAACTACAGCATGACATTGGACATGTCACAGATGCTCTAAAGTGACTTTTGAATAAATGAATGAATGAATGTATGAATGAGTTTTTTTTTCTCCTTTGAGATGGGGATGTTGGCAAATGATCTCAAGTCATGGCTAGCAAAATTCAACTCATCTATCAATGGTTACCAATGTTTTAATTTTAATTATCAGTGATTTTTTTTATACCTAGGATTATAAGAAACTATGTATAAAAGTTTTAATAACTATACTGGCCCATTTATGAAAGGTTACACATTTTATTGTTGTGGTATTCCTTGTACTAATTTGACTTAAATATTGATATTAATATGGTGATAGAGTTTGTTAAAGGTTCAGTATTTCAGTTTATATTTTTTAAAAACTGATGGATAAATACTCTCTAAGACAGTGGGTATTTTATACACTTCGAACAGCACAAAATGAATGATTACTTCTCTGTCTTCTAGTAATGAAGTACAAGAAAAGTGTCCAAAGGCCTAAAAAAAAAATCATAGAAGGTAAGTAGAAAAGGAGAGATGCAAAGCAAGATGACTCCTGAACAGACAAATTATGTCATGTGATATGAAGCTGGGGGGGGGTGCATTTGGTGATTTCCACAGTAATGGTGTCAGAGTGAGGAGACTTGGGGAGCCATCAGACTGTGGTGGTGGGTGGAGAATCAGTAGGCTTGGGGTAGACCCTTTTCAGTTGGTGCTGAATGTCATTTCCAAATGTTCAGGAGAGTGATTGAGAACATAATGCTATAGGGGAGAATAATGTAAAGATAGCTCCCCACCAAATTATCTGTACAAGTTAAGTATTACTTTTACATGTTTGCAATAGAGACAGCGAGTATGGTTTTTCCCTCTTGGAGGAGATTTCAGATGCGCTAATGAATATCCTTATAGAATGTCACATACCACATGGTACCACTTCACAGTGGTCTGCAAAGTCTGGAGACGAGTCACTAGGTAGAAAGAGGGAAGAGAATATGTAAAGAACAATGAAAACAATTATCTTGTCACCTTAGTTAGACCTTATCTCTAAAACTGAAGTTGTATTGACTTGGATGGTAAGACCACACACACACACACACACACACACACACACACACACACACACACACACCCCACAGATAAATTCATCATGTATATTCCAGAGCAACACTTAACAGAAGTTAGCAAATACTAGGTTGTCACATGGAAGAGCAGCATGCCATACTAAGTGGCATTTATTCTAAACAGAGGGGTACAGGAGCCTATGATCCAACCTATGATTTAAATTCTAGGATTAATTTTTATAAAAAGAAAATGTTCATGATAGTTTTCATTGTGGCAACATTTCCTGATAAGGCTTTAGTCTACTCTTGTTGACTCTTCCAAATGCAATAGATATGTAGTTAATTTCCTAATATTGTGAACAGAAAATGGTTTTCTGTGTAGATATCACCCAGTATTACCAGAAAATTTAATATATATATATATTAAAGTTTTCCATTTCTATTTTTTGAGTATGATCAGAGAAAATTTGCATTACTTCTATTCTTATGGAATTCATACGAAATATCTATCATAATATATAGTGACATGCAAGTGCTGTGAATATCTTACCGGGCAACAAGAGCAGATTTCCTGTGGTCACCGATAGGGTTCAATATCTGAATCTCCCTGTCTGTGTCTGACACACACACTCATATACATACCTACGGCATGCACACACACACACACACACACACGCACACGTGCACACACACACGTGCACTCACGCATGCACGCACACACACACACCACAGACACATGAACACACACACCACACACAGAGACACACATACAAAACACACACCACACACACACATATACACACACATACAGAGACACACATGCACACATCCCCCACACAAATACCCCGATAGTTCAGGCCCTCTATTCCAATAGTTCCTCTATCCGAATAGTTCAGTCCCCAAAGCCTTACTTGTGTTTGAAGTGTCTTGTGCCATGCTGCCAAGTGAATTAGTCTCCCAATGATTCTGGAAGAGAGTCCACGGCATTAATACACAGAGTAGGGTCTTTCCTTTTGTTTGTTTTTACTCTACCCATTTGACACTACATTGTTATAAGACATGGAACTTTCATTAATTTCCCAACTTAGGTCTCCAAGTACTGCACACTCAGTTTCCTAACAAACACCAACCCTTTGTCGTTTTAGTTTCTCTAGGTCCAAAACTAAGCGTAGGCTCTTCATGGCCTCTGCTCAGGGCCCCATTTTCCCAGCCACAGTGGCGTGAGCCAGGACTGTTGTCTCACTAAGCCAGACATCCTCTTCCAAGGTTACTCAGGTTATTGGTATAACTCACTTCTTGAGTCCATCAGGCCTGTGCCTTGCTCTCTGGTGGCTGTGGCTCAGCTCCTAGAACCCACCTCCAGTTCCCCATCATAAAGACCCTATCCATGGGCCTCCCATGCTGTCTTGTTTCCAACACACTAGAGTGAGAATTACAGGGCTCATGAGGCTAAGTAGGGCCCACTCAGATATCCTTTCTTTAGATTAATTCAAAGACAACTTATTATTGCCCTTAATTATAGCTGTGAACCCCCTTTACCATGGTGCTTAATGAAAATGAAAGCTAGCGTGTTCAGAGACTCAGTTCTTATCTTTACCTTTATGAGGCAAAGAACACTGAAGTTTGTCTTAGATTCTTCTTACAAACAGACTTTTCATAATTGAATTCCTTACTAACTGTACTTTCTCGGTGTGTGATTCTTTATAAAACAATAACAACAACAAATTCATATGCACCATCTTGAAGATCAATTGATTTGTTCTTACTGTTCCATTTCCAGTAAGGTTTCCCCCTGTCTTTTTATTTTCAATATTTTGAAAGATTTCATTTGTAAATGCTGCCACTACAAACTGTATTGCTGGGATTTAGTTATAATTTAACCAGATTTATGTCTTTTTATAGATATCCAATCCCCAACCTGCTGTGGGATGGTCTGTATGTCAAATGTGTTGCTCTGATTGGTCAATAAATAAAACACTGATTGGCCAATAGCCAGGCAGGAAGTATAGATGGGACTAACAGAGAGGAGAATTGAGAGAACAGGAAGGCGGAGGGAGACACTGCCAGCCGCCGCCATGACAAGAAGCATGTGAAGACACTAGTAAGCCACGAGCCACGTGGCAAGGTATAGATTTATAGAAATGGATTAATTTAAGATGTAAGAACTAGATAGCTAGAAGCCTGAACCATTAGGCCAAACAGTTTAAATAATATAAGCATCTGTGTGTTTATTTTATAAATAGACTGTTGGACTGCCGGAGTTTGGTGGGATGGGAGAGAAAACTCTCCAGCTACAACAACCATCTATTAATGCAGTAAAATGTCACCACAGTTTAAGTTATGTTTTGTAGTTGTTACTTTTAAATCTTTTACTATATTTTCACATTGTATATGTGTGTGTGTGTGTGTGTGTGTGTGTGTGTGTGTGTGTGTGTGTGTGAGAGAGAGAGAGAGAGAGAGAGAGAGAGAGAGAGAGAGAGAGACAAAGAGACAAAGAAACAAAGAGACAGAGAAAGATGGACAGACAGACAGACAGAGGCAAACTGACAGTGTTCATGTGCTCTTTTAATATGAAGGGTTTATATTTTTTAAATAATGATTGACTTACTTTTGATTTTTCTGAACTTTAGACAGAACTTGTTGCTTCCCAAATAGGAGTTTGAACACAAAATTTTCTTCCTTCTCTTTTCTCCTCTTTCTCACTCCTCATAAAATATTGGACTAAATTACTTAGTAAACTCTCTATGCCTTTGTGTTTATGGTACTTGACTAATAATCATCTCCATTAACATGAAGCGATCCTTGTACCTATATGACCTCCATATCTTCTACTTTACTACTTTATTTGCAAATCATTTACACAAGTTTGCTCATGGCACTCTCACCTCCCTCTATGCTTTAGCTCTATATTTTAATAAACCCTGTGCACACAGCTGGGCTTCCTTTGGTCATTTCTTGCTGGGTCAAAGTTCATTTACTATTAGTTGACTGAAGAGCTCCTGGCAATTGCATCCCTTGCATTCTTCTCATGTTCAGAACTGTTTGTTATACTTTACTGGATAGAACTTTGGCTGTTGATGATGGCATTCTTGGGCTACTGTGTTTTCCATGAGTTTTTCTTAGATGTTGCTTCATTGTCCTCTAGCTCTGCTGTGGAAGAGGCAAAGCTTGGTTCACTTTTTCCTTCCTTCTGTGTGGAACTTTGCCATGGATTTTCAAAGGATAATTTGTTTCTCTCTTAAGGACATAACTTTAAGAGGGTATGGGTCACCACTGATGGTTTTAACTTCTCTAGAGGCATGGTGGGCTTTGTTATCTATTATTCAAAGCAGATTTTGGTTAACAATCTTGATTTGTGTAATGTTGGATTGTGTGTGTCTCTCTGTGTGTAATACCAATTCTTCATGTCCTTTTAGCTTTTCCCAGTCTTTTCTGCATGCTTACTATCTTTCTGGCATTGTTTCCTTTGTTTCTAACATGGACCTTGCTCTATTTTCTTCTCTGCCTCTCCAAGTTGCAATGTTTGTTCTCTAAATTCTTCAATCTCTACTTTGAAGCTCACTTTATATGGGTAAAATCCAGCCATTAAATGTAAAGATCTCACTTATTTACCTTTTAACAATATTTTCCCAGTTACTTAATTAGCATTTGTTACTTCACCATTTTTAATGGAATCTGTTTATATCCTGCATTGATTCCTTTAAGATTATTCCACGTTTGCATCAAATGCTTTGCATCATGGAGGATCACCTTGTTCCAGAAGTAAATATGTGAATTTGATAGTTAACTTTACCTTTGATTAGCACATCTTAATTGTACAGAATAAGGGGTTTCATAATGGTGTTCCATGCATATATAACATGTTTTCGTTATCTTTACCACAGGCTACCCACTCTCCTCTGCCTTTCTGCTGATCTTTCTTTTTGCAATTTTCCCCTTTCTTTCATGTCTTAAAGTCCAGATTCTGCTCCTGAGAGAGCACCTGGGATATTTGTCTTCTGAATCTGTCCTACTTTGCTCAATATGATGACTTCTAGCCCTACAGACTGTTCTGTAAATGACATAATTCTTTATGACTGAACAATACTATCTGTCTACTAATGGTTGACTAGGCTTATTCCATAACTTTGAGCTTTACTGTTTGCCTGCTAGTTTACTGGTAGCCCTAGAATGACTGTAGAATTGACCTTCCCCTGCCCATTCTCTGTCTCAATAACTTGTCCATGGTTTCCTGTTTAGACCAGTCACTAGCTTCCTGTTAGTTCAGCATTGAACCATGAGTACATTCCATTCCATTTATCTAAGCTCTTCATCTTTTCCTCACTGTTCCCATTACCCTAGAGAAAGTCATCATTTGCAGGCAGTAGCCATGGACCTCGATGTGGATGAAGTCTCACTTTGGACCTGTTACATTCACTCTCAACTCCACTGCTATGTCCCATAACAGGAATACATGCACTTTTTAATTTCTAAATCTTCCATGTTTCACTAAAGGAAATTAGTGATAGATCAAGCTTCACTTTAGTGAAATTTTGTGCCTCAAAATTCCCACATGAAGAAGTTATGATAGGTCTAGAATGTTCTCCATGATATAATTTTTGATATCTTGTTATGTGTGTGACTTATTTTAATAAATGATGACCTATACTATCATTGATGTTTTAGAAAGTGGGTCTCTGTCAGCTTACACTGGCACTGAATTGTAATCCTTCTGCCTCAGTTGCCCAACTACAGGCATGTACCACCATGCCTAATATACCGCCATGCCTAGTTCTTTTATTAAACTATCCAGTCTCTTGAGTTTGTCACTACCTGATGAACTTTTCTATTTCCTGACTTATTGAAATCCAGCTTTAGTGAGGGAAAAATGTTTTCTGAAGAGAAACAAAATTTTAGAACTTAGCTGTTTAGGGAAGACATTTTTCGGGGGTGGGGGAGTATCTGCTGATAGGTGGTTTAGTTAGAAGTTAACACAAGTGCCCCCAGTGTTCACAAAGGAAAAGATAAGTGATCTAAGATGGGAAAGAACGTAGATATTGTGATGGCGGATTTCGTGTGCCAGCTTCACCGAGTTATTTGTGTCTCAGCTAGGTGTTCCAGTGGGGATGTCTCTGGGAAGGAGAGGCCGCCATTTCAGTTGGTGAACTGTATAAAGCATACAGCTGTTCCGAGTGTGGGTGGGCATCACCCCATCTGTTGAGGACTGCGCAGAGCAAGGCAATCACAGAGTTTTCCATTTGTTTTCTGCCTGGCTGGTTAGCCCAGGACACTGGTTTTCTTTGACCCTTAACATCTTGGTTTCACACCTTTAGAATTGGCTGGAATGTTCTAGTTCTCTGGCTCTTGGAATATCAAATATCACTCTGTGCCATTGATTTCCTGGGTTTCTAGCTTCCACAATCCAGATTGTGGGACTTTTCTGTTATGATTCTGTGGTAAAGTAATTTCCTAACTTAGCCAAAGTTTTTTTTCTTTTAATAAAGCAACAACAATAACTACACACTAAGAAGAAGAAGAAAGAGAAGGAAAAGGAGAAGGAGGAGGAGGAGAAGGAGGAGGAGGAGGAGGAGAAGGAGGTGCTGTGGGATGTTCTGTATGTCAAATGTGTTGCTGATTAGTCAATAATTAAAACACTGATTGGCCATTGGCTAGGCAGGAAGTGTAGGCGGGACAAGGAGGAGAATAAAGCTGGGAAGTGGAAGGCTGAGTCAGAGAGACTGCCAGCCGCCACTATGAGAAACAGAATGTGAAGATACCGGTAAGCCACGAGCCATGTGGCAAGGTATAGATTTATAAAAATGGATTAATTGAAGCTGAAAGAACAGTTAGCAAGAAGCCTGCCATGGCCATACAGTTTGAAACCAATACAAGTCTCTGTGTTTACTTGGTCGGGTCTGATAGGCTGTGGGACTGGCAGGTGAGAGAGATTTGCCCTG